GGATAATCACGGGGGGGGTGGGGGGGTGGTATTTTGCTTTATTCAGAAATCCCCTGTCTATGCATGGTCCGCATGTACGGCCACAGGAGAGGTGAGCGATTCTCGCAACAACATGTAGTTGGGGTAAGCGGCTGTTGTCTCAGGCGTGTTGCTCCGGCCACAGAAGTTAGCGGGAGCGTTTCATATTCAGCGTAAAGCACGCATGGAATGTGCGGCCGTATGAATGTGAGCCTCGAGTGCATTATTAACTACCGAGCCGCTACTATCTCATAAGCAGGCTCCTTGATTGAATAAGCAGGTCCGATTGTGTTGAAGCAGCATGAACATTATTAAGACACGACCGGAGAACAAGGAACCAGTACGCGCGTGTGGCTTTCACTTTTGGCAAGCCCGCTCACCTCGCTGCCAGCCTGCTCTCCTAGGCTCGTGCAGGGTGGGCAAATTCGTAGATGGGGTGCATTTTTGCGCAGCTCCGCCGCCAGAGCTGCTGCACGCTAGATGTTGTCGGGTCATGCGAGGCAACATATCCTTGATGTGAGCGAGAGCTTTTGCTACATATCCTGACACGCATGGACAGCAAGACTTACAATCAAAACAAATCCGTTGAGTGGCCCGACACACGCTAGCGAGTTGTTCGGGGCTTCGTCTGATTGTTGTGACTTTTCTTTGGCTTAATGCCCTTGTGACAGCAAGAAACGGTTGATTATTATTGAAACGGGCAATGAGTAAACAGTCGGTTTTAGTGGCTGCGTGACGTTGTGCAAGGTTCTAGTGTATGTAGCTTTTTCATCGGCGGCTACAGCTGCTCATGTAGCATGCATTGCTGGCGCCAGCGACAGACAGGTGCCAAGCAGCTAATTAAGAGCTAGGCTTCTGGAGGCATGCGGGTGAAGGGAACACAGGTCCTTTCGCCTTCTGCTGCATGCCACGTTGCTTGGTGAGAGGCAGTCTGCCGAAGATCTCTCGCTTCATAATCTTGCCGCATTCCTTCGAGCTCTGCTAGCCTTTGCGCCGGAAGCTGGGCTTCGTCAGCAGCCCGATGCACGTTCCCGCAATTTTAAGCTTTTGGGCAGCTGATGGCACCACTGTCTTCTGAGAGCTCATTGCTTGTGCCCGCCAATTAGTTTACAGATGGCGAGTTGGCGGAGTGAGCAAAGGACAGAAGGAAAGAAGCGAAGGCACAGAAACCGTCGGAGTATTCCTCAACCCAACACACCCCATCATGCCAGTGCTGGGCAGTAGTAGCATGGGAGGAGCAAGGAGGCTAAATGATTCACAGATTCGTGGCATGGGTTCTGCAAACACTTTGTGCATGCATCGGCAGGCTTCTAGGCGCGACCTTTCCGCCCAGCACGCATCTCAGCCTCGGCCGTTGTCAGCATGCTTGACGTTGTGAGCTGGATTTGTGCTGTGTGAGTGTCTTGTTTAACCAGTGATGGCCAGGTGCTGAAAACAGTGCGGAGCGACAGTGAAGTCCGCCATTTGCGCAAGAACTTTGGCGAAAGACGATCCAGCTATCCAAGCTTGGGCAGCCGTCAGCGGTGAATAGGTGAGCTGTTTCGCGATCCGAATCTGCAATCGGCCGACTCCTGCCATTCACTCCTGGAGTCTCCTCACGATACACAATGCACACAGACCGCCCATGTCTCTCAATCAGTCAAACCCAAGGCGGACTAAGTTCGTGCAATTAAAATATGTGCGCTGCCGCTACGTGGCCGCCTCAGCCTCTCAGGTTGCATGGGAGGTTCAGCTCAGGATTTTTTCTCGCGCTCCGATGAGCAGCTTGTTTCCACCCGCCGTGGTACCAGACCAGGCAGTTGCCTCGCCAACGTGACGTTCAGTCCGTTGTTCGCACGGGTTCGCAAGAGGGTTTTCGCCTTGTGGTTGCTTGCCAGGCGCATGGGCAGCAGAGCTCCTGTTGAGGTGCTGGATGCGCTTTACGCGGATGATGTGGCCACCTGCGTTCGCTGTCTGGTGCCATGCAGCATTGTTGCGGAACACACGTTGGATACATTTGGCTACGCCGAGCGCGCGTGGCCAAGGCCCTCGTAAAAATGCTGCATTGCCTGCTCCGGTGGGAAGGGTGCTCGTGGGGTGCGTCAGGTATTCACGGACATTCGCGGGCGTCTCATGGTCCTCCGGGAGCAAGCCGGAGGGAGAAGTGCTGGATGTTGTGCCTTCCTGGACCTCGTACGCCATCTTGGCTCGCTGGTGTCATGCAAGGGCTCCATGCTGCCTGAAGTGCGTGCCAAGATGGACCTGGTGGGGCACGCGGCCTTCAAGGAAGGACGCCGTGCTGCGTCTTGGTGCCTGCAGATACAGTTGGGGAGATGATGGGTTGCACGGTCTCGGGTCCCACGTCCTATCGGTTTTGCTCACCGATTGTCGGGCATGGCCTACGCTGTGTTGTTCCAGTTGGGGTGTCTTTGAGCAGGGCTGCTCGATGTTTCTCAAATGCTGCGCGGCCCCGCGATGCTGACCAGCACTGTGCCCTCTCCTGGAAGCATGCTTGCCTTGGACCGCCTTCGTTTGTGGACCTGACGCCGCTTGGGCTTGCTGCAGCATTCTGGTGAGGCATTCGCGAAATCGGCAGCTGCTGGATCTCTGAGGCTGTCGGACATGTGCCAACTTGAGCGTGCCGGGCCGCGCTGCTCCCGGGCTGTCAAATGTCGGCCTCGTCGGTGTTCCCGAGTTGCTTTCGCGACCCACCAACAACTGAAGAAACATTTTTGTATGTCAGCATGTGAGCTCAAGAACGGGCGATGCCAAAACGGAAACCTGTTGTAGCCGCCATTGTAGCATGAGCAAGTTGTCGCCCACCAGGCTTAGCCTGGCCGATCACAGAGCTGCCTGCTTCTGGCCAACTCTGATCCCGCTGCTGGAGGGAGCGGCTTTTCTTCTGCGAGACTCTTTTTGGCCGATGACCGGCTTGTCCAGACCAATTGACGCTCCCCTCGTAATCCTGCTAGAGCGGCGGGTAGCGGCGCACAGGTGCTGTCGCAGTTGAGAGCCCCGTACCTCGCAGGGCCCCCTTGCCAAGAAACGGTCCTACAAGTTTTCCTCCGCGCCGGATTCGTGGCTGAGCATCTTTGGCTCGGCCTTTTGCTTTCCTTCAATGACGAATGATATGTTAGACAGCGGCAGTGGGAAGTCGCGTGACGCAAGCTTCGTTAGTTCGGCCCCAAATCCACAGCCGTCTTGCCCTCATCATTCGTTTTTTGCTGACCAGGGTGTGTTGCACGTAGCGAATTTTGCTACCTGCTGTTACAGACGCCGGGGAACAGCTGAAGCGTGTCATGGACAGGACAAAAAGTAGTTTCAACATGAACGTCGAATGCAGGACGTCTTCACCAAGCAGCTCGTCCCATGCACATCGCCATCCGCATATGGAGGACGACCTCCTGCGCAGGCAGAGCCGATTCCTTGCAATTGCTCTCGTTGTTATAAGCCCGCACAACTACATGTAGCTGCGGTGCGTTGAGATGCAGTTCACCAACTTGGCCTCAGGCAAGTGAATCGTGGACTTGCTTATATTGACCAAGCTGCCAAAGAGGTGAAGAACAAAAGTGCATGCTGGACACATTCGCACGCTGTATTTGTTTATGTTTAGTATGTGTCCTTCCCTATACCTGCAGGTGCACCTGCGTAACCAGCATCTTTCGCGATGCTTGGAGGAGGTCGCTGCGAAGTTATGCTTGCGTTGTCATTTGCGGGGTGCAAGTGGATTCGTGGCATGTGTGCAGGTCCAGTCCGATATATCACGGATTACCGACCGCATGCAGGCTCAAAGATGGCATTGGTTTTGAAGGAAAGTTAGGGAAGGACTGTTGCTGGTCCTGTCCAGTTTGTTCCGTTGCGTTTGCAGCAGCTCGTGTTTTCTTGCCAAAGCACGTGTGTGCACTCAGTACAACAGTGTAATGGTGAGACTGGTGTGAATAGTCTGGCAGGCTTCAAGGCGCGAGCGGGAACGTGGTCGCGCGGCAACCAGTGCGGCAGCTTCGCGGCTCTTCACGGACAAATCTGCCACACCAAAGCCCCTCGTCACGGAGCAGAAAACCTTTGGATGGCTGTAAGACACGCAGTTCCGCGATGCAGGGCCACAGAGCCGCCCGCCCACGTCCCTTCCAGCAGACCGTGCCTTTGGCATCCTTTGGCGCACTGCATGACATTTATGCAAAAGCTGAGCTGCTCACTATGTTTTAGAATTCATTCCATTCTTAATGTTAACAATTTTTTCATCTGTTGCCTCTTGAATTGATGCCAGGAAGTGCTGGGCAAACCATGCACGTGCTACTTCGGCTGGCGGCAAGACGCTGCCCAAGAAGTCAGGAGCGGCAGGCGGACTTGGGTAAAGAGGGCATGAGAGCCCAACCTTTCTCGTGTGAGCCGTGTTTGGTGACGCTGTTCTTTTTTTGTTGGTGCGGTTTGGCTGGCATCGGTCTTTCTTCAGTGTGAACTAGCCCCGTCACTCGTTCTCGGGTTCCCCCAGATGCGCCCTACAGATGCCACCCATCCTTCATGTTGTACCATTTGCACCCACGCACTGTCTGCGGCTCAAAGTTGAGTAGGTTGGAATTGTTTGTGAGTGTTTCTTTCTTTCACCCCTCGAGAAGACATATTGCTAGATGTCCCAGATGTTCCCTGAACGAAAGCACGGCAACAACAACTAAAGCCTAAACAAACTTTTAAACATGAGCAGTCGGAACAGACCCGCAGGTGAAAGTCCCCGCTGTGCACGAGCAGCTCAAGAGGGCTTTCGTTTTGGAGGCGGATTGGCTGCCTGTGTGTTGATCGCGAATCCCTGCAAGTGCTGCGCCCAACACGTTTCAGATATCAGTTTGGTGTTTCCAAGCACACTGTCGTGCAGAGCTTCTACTTTACTTTAGTGTATGCCACAGCTTCGCTGGGCAGAATTTGGTGAGACTGCTCCGTGGTGGAGTAGCCAGGGACCATTACCATTTTGAACCACCGTGGTTTGAACAATTGACATGGGTTGGCAGGCTGGGAACGTCCGTCAAAGGCGCTGTCCGCAGCCGACCCTCAGAGCAGGCCCAACCAGATCCAGGACACGCTTGGTTCAGTGGTCACCCGATGACCCGATGCTTTGCAGGGGGGTGTTCTTTGGTTTGCTCCTGCAGGAGTCGGTCCGTGCACAGCTTGCGTCGCTCCGACATGAGAGCAAAACGGACCAAAAGGCAGCTGTGAAGCGTTTGCTCGTTCAGTGGCATCCGGACCGAAACCCGGACACGTGGATGGCAGAGAAGGTTTTGGTTGACACCGCTGTTGTAGGAGGACTTTGCAGGTATCGCTTGAAGTGCGATGTTGCGTCTCGCTCGGGCCAACTCAGGAGAGCCAGGAAACTGCGACGGCAATTTTCCAGTTCATACAGCAGGAGTCAGTCATCAGAAGAAGCCATGGCAAGGCAGGTTTCAGAATGCACAAGTCTTCCCCCCATGCAGGAGAAAGACAAGATGTTGGGACTCTAGCAGTCAGTGTGTGAGGCCGTGGAAACTGCTGCGTAATTACGATACGTATGTGTTTTACTCAACATGTTATTGTACAGCAAGCCAGTGTTCTTCAAAAGAAACTGGCGGAATGACAGTGTTCCCCTTGGAGCTGTGCCAGCTGTGTGCCGCTCGACCTGTGTCGCTTGCGGGTCGTCGGAGATCTTAGTAGGCCCACCGTGAGATTGAATTCGCCCGTGTTGCCAGCGCAAAACGTGACGAACAATGCCTCTGCATCTTTTGTCCCCGAACGAGATGAGCCTTTAGAGTTTTTCAGTTGTGACGGCCACTCGGCCACCCATTCAGTTCGAATGCCTTGTCTCATTCATTGGTTTGGTCTTCAGTGGTGGTGGCACGCGGTCTTGGTGAAAGCGCAAAGCAGTTCGGGCTCGGCTTTTGCTCTTGCTTTGCTTGTGCGTTGTCCAGCTTTCGCCTGAGTAGCTCCCTTTGTCACACATTTTGGGACAGTTGTTCGACGCTCTCTGCAGCCATGCTCCAGCTGGTCAGAACAAAGTCAGTTTGGTGTTTTGCTACTGCACGCACAACTTGCTTGCAGTTCAGAATGAGTGTTGACACTTCAACTTGTTGCCAAGGCCTTGGGACCAAAGGGCATCCCAAGATCCTTATGTACACTACACATGCGTGATTCACGGTGGCGACCCCTGTAGTTTGCCATAGCGCCGGCGCGTGTGTTGCGCGATAGCGCTGGGAGAATGCGAGCAGGCACGGTAGTTCGCGAGAACGGGGATGGTGCGTCAGCAAGGAAGTTCTTTTGTGTAGAGCTTGTGCAAGAGTTTGGTCCCTGCTCTTTGCTAGCGCAAGAAGCAAGAACTTGTTCTGTAGAGTCTCAGCAGGGAGTGTGTCATCGCAGGAGCACCGGATCCCTGGGTCCTCCAAGAGACGATCCTCAAAGAGGTCCAAGCAGGGCCCCAAAAATTCCCGGTCGCACAGACTGTGGCAGGAGCGACTCTTTGATGACCACCTGACGAAGATACAGGCTGGTGAGGCACGGAACCGATCCTTTCATCGTCGCTGGAAGATGGAGAAATGATGAGAGGTGCCGGCCCCCTTGAGACGCATACTTTTCTGTCTCGGCAGGACGTTCGGAAAACTGCCCGGCTGAATCCCAAGGCCTCAGCTGCCTGGCAAAGTCGTCTGAAATAGATTTTTCTCCGGCTCGCATTCCCTCGTGTTAGCTCGTGCCTCCTCGTTGTGGTAGATGGAGGCATAGGCTGCATAGAGGTGTCGCAGAGGCATAAGGTTCTTGAACCGCGTTCGGAGGAGCTCAAGTACATGCACAAAGCTGGGATCGCGCCGTCTTTTCGGAGCACGCTGCTGTCTCAGAGCTTGTTTTTCTTCGTGGACACATGCACAAACAATCACGAAGCCACGTGCATGCATGCTCGTTTCATGCATGCTGTTGGGAGCTTGAAGGCTGACGTTGAAAGACCGGAGCCTCCTGCGCGAGTATCAGGAGAGACCCAGAAAGGCTGAGGCTCAATGTGGACTTTCTGAAGCTCCGCTGAAGTCGTGAACTGAATGAGTTGACTGGTGCCTTGAGAGGTGGTGTGCGGAGCTAGGCATCATGTGTTTCTGTCACAACAGGCTCAGTATGAGTCCTACGCACCTTACGCCGCGCGCTCAGAACAGCTCATTGTGGCATGGTGCCATAGGACACGTTGTTTATAGCAGCAGCTGCAATGCCGCTGAGGCTTGAGGTGCATCCTGCCGTAAGCTCTCTCTTGTTTCATTGCTTTCGGCTCTGGTGTCTTGCGTTGAGGGAACCAGTCGCTTTTTCAAAGTCTCAAAGTCATTGCGGCCCTCTAAGCAAATGCCTTTGGAAAGAAACTCGCAGGTTCTGGGGTCCGCCGAAACACACCTGTCGAACAAGCTGCCCTAGAGCTCCCAAACTCAATCGCTTCTATCGAACTGGTGCCGCATGCTGTGAAGACCGCAGCTCGCTGGCGTCAGTGGCCATGCAGCCATGGAGATCATGGAGCAAGTGTTGCTTTGGGTTTGGGTGGCACTGCTCTGCTGCACAAAAACCGCGAGGGCGTGGAACTCCCACTTCTCGATCGGGCAACTCTACTCCTTCCAGGATTTCTACACCGACGCCCAGTATGGCCCAGACTTTGGCTACTACTCCACGGGCCGAATTCTGCATGTGGATGGCCCCAGTGACGTGGGCGCTGGGGGCCAGGAGTGGTTTAACTCCTACACCACACTCCCCATGTCCCTGAGCCCCTACTTCGGCCATGCCCTTTGCGATCGTCTTGCGGCCATGTGGGCTGCAATGGGGGGGCCGAAGCCATTTGTGGTGACTGAGTTTGGTGGGGGTACGGGCATGCTGGCTCGGGATATCTTGCGGCGCGCGCGAGATGCCCACAGCGACTTTTACGCCTCCTTGACGCGTTACTTCATTGCAGAGCGTTCTCAGGCTATGCGGGCGGCGCAGAATGCGACGGCAAGGGAGTTTGTGTCGGCTGGGAAGCTTTCTGTTCTGCCGGCGGATGGGCGGCTGGCTGCCTCGCTGAGACCATCCCTGGAGGCTGAAATGGGAGATGGTGCTCCGGTGGTCGGCATCCTTCTCTCAAATGAGCTCCTGGATGAGTTCGACCCGGTCAGGCTGCGCTTGGTCTGGCGCCTGTCGCGGCCGCCCTCAGAGAGACGATGCCGCGAGTGCAGTTCCTACCGAGAAGCATACGTCGCTCACAGCATCGACACGAAAGCCCTCGTCAACCTATTGGAGAATTTGGAGATGGAGACGGCCGATGGGCCCGATTCTGTTGAAGCAATTTGGCACGAGGGCCAGCTGGCTTACTGTGGCCTGCTCTCCAATGCTGCCCTACGCCGCGTGGTGCTCACCATCTCCGAGGACCTGACCGCCGAAGAGCGCTTCCTTTGTGCACCCATGCTGGTTTGCTGCTTTCCTTTCGTCCTGGCCGTGAACTCGGCGCTCCAGTACCACCATGAAGTGTTGTACCAAGGAGAGGTGGAGCATCGTGATGAGAATGGCGAGCGAGATCTTGTGAAGCAATACCGTGCCCTCCTGCGCATGACCAATGAGACAGTACCGCTTACAAAGGCTCGCTACCGTCAGCTGCGCCGGATCGCGGCAAAGCGAGGCCCCGAAGCAGAAAAAGCTTTGCTCGTTGGAGACAGCAGTGACTCTGGCAACAGTGAGGTGCTCGGCTCCGGCCGGCTGCGGAGCTTGGAGATCTTCTTAGCGCTGACACGGAGGCGATGCCGGGAGCTCGCGGGCTGGCGCCAGCGCCACGCTCGGCGCTTGGCACACGCGGCGCGGCTGCGGGACGTGTCGGCGCCGGCGTACGGCATGGCTGGCCCAGGCCACACAACCGCCCACTTGCAGCTCGTCCAGTTTTGGCGCGTGTTTTTTGTTTTGTTTTGCTTTGCTTTGCTTTGTTTTGCTTCTTGGTTTCAACTGTCGCGTGAGAACCTGGCACGACCCGTGCAACCAAGCTTACTCTCAGTTTCAAAGCTGACCCTGCACTGCACTGCTGAAATCTGAGGAAGCTCGTGCTTCGCCCAGGAGAGGCCGAGTTCGCGAGGGAGACAGCCAAACTACTGGACGAGGGCTTCCTGGTCACCCTAGACTATGGCGCCGATGCCGACGCTCTACTTTGGTTTGCTGCCATTCGGCCCCACTACGAGGGGATCCACATCATGGATGCTCGGGCAGAGTTCCTTGACGTCTGCACAGTAGTCTCCCACCTCGAATGTCCAGGACTCCAAGATCTCACCACGTCTGTGGACTTCACGGAAGTAGCTATGGCGGGTGCTGAGTGCGGATGGACGCAGAAGGCTTACGGACCCATTTGGCTCTTGGAGTTGGGGTCTGATCACGGTGGCCTTGGGCATCTGCTGGAGCGCGCGGGGGGGCTTCGAAGCCCTTCATTGCAGGCCTGGTACCTGACGCCGGAGCAGGACCCTTGGGCTTCCTTCAAAATTTTGGTGCAACACCGAGGACAGCGTGGAGGAGGCTGGAGCCTTGGGCCCTTGTCACAGGAGTGGCCCTTGAGCCCTGTGCCGCGCCTGTTGCGAGCCCCAAGCCCGTGCTGGAGTCGGGACATCACAAAGCCGCCCCTAGCAAGCCTGGTAACCACGGCCTCGCACCAAAGCTTGGGCGAGAAGGTGTGGCGGATGTATTCAGCAGCTACTGAATATGCTGATCAGCCGTTGCAGACATTGCATCCTGAAGCCATTCTTGAGGATGAGAGCGTGGTAGACACCCTTTCCCAGCACTTTCTTGCCTTTTTGATGCAGGAGGAGCTCCTTCCGTTGTTGGAACAGCAGAGTGAGGCACAGCAGCGAGCATATGCAAACGCTCACTTGGCCGCTTTGCTGGTGGACTATTGGCGCTATCTGGAGCCAAAGGGCAGCAATTTCACTGCGTGGAACCCGGTGCAAGAGCAAGTCCGCGACATGGCAGCAAGCAGATTGCTGCCGATACTGTATGGTGAGAAGAGGTTCGAGGAGGTCTTTCGTCAGCTGGAAAATCATGTTTTCACCTTCAATGGGTCTGTTGCTCTGAGGAGCGCAGAAGCCTCTCCACCGTATCTTTGTTTGGCCTTAAAGGCCTTTCATGGTTAATGACATCGCTTGATAGGAAAGGGCCCATGACTGCGTGATACTTCATCGAACACGCAAAATGTTCCGTGTGTGGCTCTGAAAGAAACAAGCTGACAAGCTAGAGATGCTTTTGAGCTAGGCTCTGAGCTCATGCGCCCTGGAATGTCGGCGATGTAAGTATGGTAAATGTTCGGGTTCCGACAAACTTCGACGTGGCAAATGCCTGAGTCGTGAAGATGGTCGGAGCAGAAGCTGGCAAAAGGGCAGCTCTCTCTGTGTGTGTCTCTGTGTGTGTGTGTGTGTGTGTGTGTGTGTGTTTTTGGTTCAAGTCGGCTGCGAACGGCTGTGTGCTTCACTTCGCAGCTGTAAATCTACGTGGGGAGTCTTTGACTTCAGTTCAGGCCGCCATTTTCGAAGAGCCTGTAGACACAGAGTACCGCAGGTCGCCGGGAACTCCAGTATGCCGAAGCTCCATGGATGTCTTCTTACCTGACATGGTACATGACTGTCGCAGCTCCGCCGGAAGAGACATTTGAGTGACATGCTTGGGCCGGTTTGACTCGTGGCAAGCGGGTTGAAGGGTCCCAAACATGCTTGCCGTTGACCGATTCCTACTGCCTTGCGGATTCGTTTAACTTCTTCCGTCAAACGCAGCTGATGACTGGACCGTCTCAAGCCTGGAGTTGGCACCCAGACATCTGACGCACAGAAGCAAGGGACAGGGCAAGTGGTGAAGTGCTGACCGCTCCGACACGAAATCTCATGTCACACGAGCTGCGCCGACTTGCCGAGTGACGCTATGCCAGCTGACCTACGGGATGCGCTCTGGGGCGAATGCCTAGCGCCTGACATGAAGGTTGCGGACATCGGATATGGATTGCAGGACTTCGACCCAGCTGCTGCTTGGCTTCTGCTGAGTCTTGCCTGTTCATAAGTAGACTCTCCGATGGCCGACCTCTCTTGACGATGACGGTTTGCCGTAAGCGGAAGTTCAACTTGTTCTCGTCCTTATGGCCAGACCCCTCCTGTGCTTGGTTCTATCGTTTTCTGCAGGCTGGGGGCTGTCCGGAGGTCGCGAGGACAGGCCACGGTTTTCCATTACAATGCAGCCGGGGCCTGAGGATGCCCGGAGAGAAAGAGGCACCTAGGCTCACCCTCTTCACCCTACCGGGAAGAGTGCCCTTGTGGGCTGAGGGACTTGCGTAAACAAAGCAAACCCAAACTCATGGCGTCCGCCATCCTACCTGCATGACTGGAGGCTTGCACACTCTGAAAGACATTTTTTGTGCCGGCGCTGATCATGTGTCTTTTTAAGACACAGAGGGAGATCCAGGCGGTGGTTTTGGCCTCGAATAGGTTTGCCAATCTTTACCAGGCCGTTGCTGCAGAACGTGGTGGAACCTGGACAGCCGGAATACAGATTCTTGCGGAGTTCCCTGGCTGAGTCATGGGAGGTCCAAGCATGTGACCATGTGATTGGCGAAGAGTTGGTTTTGCCACCTGTGCATGTGCACTGGTGAAAAGGCTTGCAGCAGCAGACGTGGTGGCCAGCCTCTTGGCTGGAAGTTCCAGCCCTGCTGTGTCGGCATGCGCTGTACCACAGCAGAGTCTAGCTGATTCCAGGGTATTCGCTGCCGACCTTCTGCAAATCTTGCTTGTTCCTTCTCGAACGCAGTGCCTTGTAGCCGTGATGTCAGACTGCCAGGCAGCTCGTGCTATGCGGGAGCCATGAAGACGTTGGCACGCTCACGCGAGCAATGGGAATGGGCCGTGGAGGTCCTCCTCCAGATGGAGGCGGTCTTGGGCATGCAATACTCCTAGTGATGTGTGCCACAGAAGACATAACTACCGTAGTTGTAGAAGGGGCAGGATGGATGCCATTCCTCTGCTGGCATTCTTCTGGTCGGCATTTCCAATCGCCAGGCTCAGAGTTTGCGACGCAACGAAATTGTCCTGAGCACGGCGACTCGGCGTGATGGCTCGCAGAGCTGGCACAAGCGGCAGCAACCGCAGAAGCTTTCCCTGAATTTCCTTGATGTCTTTGCAAAGAGCCCCAAGGGTTTGACAGCTTCAGCACGGGCTGCATCGTGGCTCAGCGCTTTGGATCTGTTCACGAGGCTCAGTGGTGATGAAAGGGATTGGTGCCAGAGCCTATTTGCAGTGTGCATGTCTCCAGCCTGAATGGCAGGATGGCACAAGAGAAGCTGGAGCAGGCTGCATGCTGCAATCACTTTGAGAGCAAGTGGCAAAGATGTTCCAGACCGAGCACTGTCTCCTGCAGCCCATTGTGTCGCCGCATGCAACTTTGTCGTGCTTCTTACCTAGTAGATGACATTCTCAAGACCCATCCTTTCTTATGATGCTAGGCTGGCCTAAGCTGCCTGAGAGGCTTAGAAACCAGCGGAGGAAGTCCAAAAATGAAAATCGCTGATTTCTGCCGACAGGATGCCATCGCCTGCACAGCAGTCGTGTCTGGCTTTGAGCTGCTGGGGCGCTGGCAGCCGTCGCTGGACCAACACAGGGGACCACGTCCTTCAGGGCTTTGTTTTCCCCAGAGGGTTCTAGAGGGCTTCGAGCATGCCGTGTCTGTCGTGAGAAGCCCCAACAAGCCCAGTGGGCGTGGTACAGTCAAAGTATCGGGAGCCTGGGCTTGCAGAGTTCTTGGGGCAACACGGCAAGGAGCGCCGTGGAGTGCAAGCTTGTGGGCAGCAGGGAGAATAGTAACCACAGCCCCATATCGCAGGAACTTCTCAGACAGCTGCCGGAAGCTGACGTCGTTGCATATGGTGCAGTCGTGAGTGCTTGTGCAAAGGCCAGGTGGTGTTTGGACTATGACGCTTGGCTCGCGTGAGCATTGCGAGTGTTGTGCCCTCGTTCACTCTCCGTTTGCAAAGAAAAAGTCGGAAGGCTGGAGCTTGGCAAATGGCTGTGGCTTTGCTGTTTGAGCTGCTGCTCGGCTGCTTTGAGTGTGCCGCATCAGAGCGCGATCACGCAAGCAGCAAGACAGTGTCAGCTTGATGGATTTGGGATGTGGTTTGTAAGGTCCGAGCGGCGTGCCTTGAATGAGGTTTGCGTGAACTCTGCAATCACGGCATGTGAGCGTGCGGGAAGCTGGGACATGGCATTGGTGCTGCTCTCTGAAATGGTGAACCAGGCCAGACTGGGGGCATTTCTCTGCGTCGGACTCATGTCGTCATGTAGTTGGAGTGCGGCGCGTACCCGCACGTGTAGTTTCAGGCACTTTTGGCACTTTTTCGGGGTTTTGAGGGGGGGGGGGTGGGGGGGGGGGGGGGGGGGTGGGGTGGGGGGGGGGTGGGGGGGGGGTGGGGGGGGGATAAGAACGTCATTCATATTGCGTCCATGCGCAAAAGACTGGTGTTTTTTACAGCGTGTTCGCCTCTTTGTACAACATACTGCACAAGGATGTGGAACAAGAAATCTATCACAAGCGTCCATGCCTTTCGCGACCGTGCCCAAAAACACCGGTATTTTACAGCGTTTTATGCCCAAAACACTGGTGTTTTTGCAGCGTGTTCGCCTCTTTGTACTACATACTGCACAAGGATGTGGAACAAGAAATCTATCACAAGCGTCCATGCCTTTCGCGACCGTGCCCAAAAACACCGGTATTTTACAGCGTTTTATGCCCAAAACACTGATGTTTTTGCAGCGTGTTCGCCTCTTTGTACTACATACTGCACAAGGATGTGGAACAAGAAATCTATCACAAGCGTCCATGCCTTTCGCGACCATGCCCAAAAACACTGGTATTTACAGCTTTTATGCCCAAAACACTGGTATTTACGGCGTTACCCTGCAAGACAAAACCCTCAACATGAAACCCATGACCCGGCCTTCCACTCCGAAATCTCTACCCCATAAATACAGTGAGAGTTACTTCACGAAAACTACTGTAGCTAATTAGGCGAATAGCATGCCCCCAAAAATAGACAAAGTTTTCCTCTACTGCTGAAAACCCACGCCTGCTGATGTTTTCGGCATGTCCTCACAGTGACTTCAAAACAAACCCAACAAATAACAAATAGCCAAACAGCCTCAACAGCATGCCCGCCAAAATGGACCAGGTTTCCTGCAGTGCGAAAAAAAACCCATGCCTGCCGATGTTTTCGGTTTCTCCTGAGAGTCACTTTGCAAAAATCACCAAAACCAACTGGAAATAGCATGCCCCCCAAAATGGCAAAAATCTTCCTCTGCTCCTGAAAAGCCACCCTGCCGATGTTTTCTGCACGTCCGTTGTTCTTGAGAACATGCCTTTTGTACCACGCGCGGGAACCAACCGCGAACCATGTAGTTTCTTCGTTGCGTTTCTTAAGCGGTGTGCCCTGCGCAGCAATGGCAGGACCTCAGGCGAGACACCATTGGTGTGTGCGCGGCCATTAGCGCGTGTGCCCGGTCCAGCCAATGGCAAGCATCTTGGCATTGGGTGTGGACATGTCCGTACCTGGACTTTGCAATCAAAGGATGTATAAGTTAGGTACGTAGCTCCTCTTTGCCATCTGAAAGTGTTTTTGTGGCCAAAGGCAGCGCTGGCTTTGTACAAGGACATGACGGCATCTCTGTTGCAGCCGATGCATGGCTGCACCTGTGACTCGTTGCATTCTGGACGGACGTTGTGCCGACGACTTCACAACTTCACAAGTTCGACTTTGAGCCATTTGCTTTTTTGCACTGGGCAAGGAGCAGTGAAGCCCTTCTGCTTTAGGCCGTACGGTCGTGTATAATCCCGGACCGTGTCTTGAACTTCCCTGCCTGCCAGGAATGTCATCGCCATCAATGCAGCTATGCATGCCTGCGAGAAAGCAGCTTGCCAGCCAGCCACGAATTTTCATGAGCGATGTGCTCGCCATGCTTCCCTGCTGGGTTAAGGTTCAGCCGAGGTGAAGCAATGGACGGTTGTGCTTCACCTTCTTTGGACCATGCCTCAACAGAGCGCCTCCGCCTGAATGTTGGTAGCTAATTGGTTTGTTCTTATCACCATAAGTATTGTTATTAGTGTTGTTATCGTCTGGTTATGATTCATAGTAGTACCGTCTTTTTATTGTTACTGGTATGATGATCATATGCTGCAGTCTGACCCAAGGACTGCAACACGATGCAATCAGTCTGGGCTCCACGGGAATGGCCTGCGACAGTGCTGCGGCTCGGTGGTGGCAGAGTCCAAGAGAGCCAAAGCCTGTTGATGGTCCAAGTTGGGCCGCCACGGTGCCATCGCAGGAGCAGCTGTGAAGCACGTCTCTCCCTGGATCTAGGAACAGTGGCAGTGGTCGCTCCAAACGCTTGGCAGAAGTCCATCAGGCGCTCGTGACATGCATCTCGCCATGTTGCCTGCCCTTGTCCAGTGTAATTTGGGAAGCTCTGGAAGCGCGTCAAATTCATAATGTGCAGTTTACACAGCACGTCATCTTGATAAGATGCTTTTGGGCTGATACTGTCTGCTAGTGTCGGATTAAGTGCGACAGGTGCAGTTGAAGATGGAACGCTGCAAAATTTCGCGCGGAGGAACCTTGGAATACTTTGTTCGCACTATTTGCTCCTGCCTGCTTGGGTGGTGTGTGCAGCTTTGTCGAGTGTGCTGGGGTTGGCCTCATGACCTGGAGGCTCGCGCAGCAACCGTCGCTGCTTCCAGAGGCTTTGTTTTGACAGGGTACGGTTGGATGGTTTTGGCGAGGGTCGGCCCCTTTTCACCTCTGCGTGTCTGTATCCTGGATCCCACACAGGATTTGCAGTTGCTGCGCTCCATGTGCGCACCAGCGGCCCTCCGCCGGGCGAGACCTGGATGCAGTTATGGTGCGAGAAGCAAGAGCAAGCAAGAGCACGCAAGAGCGTGAGATTTCGACTGAGAATGCAAGGACGCCACAAGAAGTCGTGCTGCTGGTGCCGCGCATGGACTGTAGCAAGTGTCTGTATGCCGTTCTTTCAGCAAAGGTTTCGGCAGTCATCTTTAGGCTTAAGTTTCTGAGGTGTGGTGCATGGCTTCCGTCGGATTTTCAGAGGAAGCGATCCTCTCCAAACTGCTGTCACTTGGCCAGCCTTAAGCTGATCTTTCCATCACCTGATGATACTGCTAGCATCTGCTAGCATTGAGGGTCACGGCGAGCGAGCTCCTCTCACAAGGGCGTCTGACCTGGCGTGACCTCGGCCACCTGTCATGGGCCATGGCGAACCTCGAGGCTTGACAGTGCTGCATGCTCTTTGCCGTTCCGGCTCTGCAATGCATGGGTGCTAGAAGGGAGACCTTGTCGGCCAGGTCTGGGACCTCGATCTGTTGCTGGCGTTGCAGAAGGATACCGTATGATGCAGTCAATGCTTGGTTTCAGTGACAAGACAACAATGACTCACGCTAATGTGGCTGCCGTTTCCGATTGCATCCAGCTTGTTAGAAAGCTTTGATGTCAGAGGCTGTTTGGATATGTTTCGATGCCAAGGGCTACTAGGCCATTTGGCTCACGTGGCACGAAGCCCAGTGTAGCCTGAAGCTCCCCACAAAGATGGGGACAGCCATCTCTGTGTGCCGCAATGTGCTGGATGCCGCCTTCATGGACGAGGAAGAGCTGTCATCAGCATTAGCCCAACAGTACGGGCCGCAGCTGCTACTGCGCGTTGATGCGGCCCCAATCCGAGAAGCTTGGTCTCCGTGTGAGCACCGCTGTGGCCGCTTTGGGATCTGGGGAGGGGAACTTAAAAACTCTTAAGCCCTTAGGACCCTTAGGGAGACACTGCAGGCCCAGCAAGGCCCACAGCCGGGCCCATAGCAAGGCCCAGCAAGTAAGAAGCGCATACCCGGAGGACGGCCCAGGAGTGCACAGCAACCCTTTCCGGCTGACGGATGAGGTAATACTGGAGGGCGTGGAGACTCTGGGACGCCTGGCAGGCAAAAGCAACCTTGAGGTGATCAACAAAACGCTCAGGAAAACTCTGGTTGCATTCCACTGCTGGAGTGTTCATGTTGTGGCATAGGTGTGGAGCAAACGTCCAGCGATGTCAAGCGTTGATAAGGATCAAAGATTTGGCCACACAAATATTTTTAAAGGCGCCGTTAGGCACCCTTTGGTGGGTTTTGTCTTCCCTGCCTCTTGTTTTTGCTCTTAAGGGCTTCTGGTCAACTGGCTTTGTGGATTCTTGTTGCCTTCTTTTTCAAGTCGCGTCATGTCAGTGCCGTCGGGCCAGAGGTGGTGCTCACATCTTTACAACATGAGACGTTGACCTGCTAAGGAACTTTCTCCCAGTTTATGGCCCGCTTCAGTATGGCGCGACGCTTCCAATCGGGGAGCAAACCTCCCTTCACTTGGCCCACCACCGACTCTTGGCATCTCTTGGCTTCCCAGCAAAGACTCGGGGTTCCCATGGGCCGTTGGCTCTGAGTTTTGCTGACTCAGCGCATTGGGATTAGAGCCCGTCACCGGCTGACCTTGTAGCCTTCGAAGCAGATATAAGTTGAAGGCTTTTTTTTGGGTGCTTACGTCCTAGCTCCAAACTCCAAAAAACCCGATGCGCAGCCTCAAGAGTCGGCAAGGACAGAGCTACAACGCCGCATGTTTTCATGCGGGCGCGAGTGGAAGGTACGTCAAGGTGCCCAGGCTGAACTCTTAAACGTATATAGCAAGGGATGAAGACTCGTACCCCTAATGCGAAAATAGCCCTTATATTCCCTAGCGATCTTTAAAAGGGGTCCCCAAACCCAAGGGTACAACCTTAAGCGTCCCTAGATTATTGCCTGGTGGCCGTCGGCAGTAAGTGCAGCTCACCCTCGATCACGCACTTCTTAGCATGTCTGACCCAAGTCTGAGGTACGTGTTGCTGGACGTCTGTGCGTCCTTGAGCGAGCAGACGCTTGCTCACGCAATGTTGGCATTGCAGGACAGCAAAGAGATGATCCAGTGCCTTGGATTGAGCAAGGCTTTCACAACCTCTGAGTTTGCAAGATGTCTTCGCAAGGCACGCCGCAAATTTTAATCAGTACTTGTCGGAGATTGCTGCGGCTGATGGTTGCTCGGTGGCAGATCGTGAGCAGCTGAGTAAGTTGGTCAGCCTCAGATGTGGTTACCTGTAGTGAATGTGAACCGCAGCCGATGATTTCTGCAGGTGGTGACGTTCCCCAAGTAAAGATTTGCGCGCCTGTGGGCTGTCGTGTGCTCGACAGCAAGATCACACAGTTGACCAACTCGGAGATGGTTCTTGAAAACGGTTTCTGGCATTTCGTGGTTTGTTGCCGCATCAGAGCAAGCCTGGCCCCTGAGTACCCGTCAATCATGGGAAATGAGTGCCCCCGTCAATGTTGGGAAGGGGCCTCAACTTGGCCAGAATGTTGAAATTGCATGTGCCCGGCCCCCTAGTCATGTCGCATTTCTTTTTGCGGTGGGCGGTCTAGGGTTTCCTATTAAAATGCAGTTAAAATATAGAGGAAGTTAAGCTTTACATATGGAAGAAAAGCGGGATTGAGGGTTTTCTCATGAAAATTCAGGGGAATTATAGCTTTCCGACGAAAATACAGAGGAAATGGAGGTCTCCTTGTGTGAGCATTTTATCAAAGATAGTTTGACCTCCAAGGAAGCGGTGCGTCTGCAAGCTAAAATCGAGAGATGTCCGTGCGTGCCTCCCGTGGTTGGTTACACTGCAACGTGTTGTGGCGTTAAAACTCTCGTCAGTGATGCTGAGTCTCATCAACGTCAGGGGTAGTTCAACACCTGGCGCCGTGAACTCTTACGTTCGGTGGCTTGTTTTGAATGCCCGCCAACATCCACGAGCGCCCAAAGTGTTGACCGTTACTCACAGCGAAGGCAAGGGGAATGGTCGAAACGTGCAAAGGATCGGTGCGAACTTCCAGCCCAGCACAGGAAGTCATGCAAGTTGACTTTGGCGGCCAAAACACGCGAAAGAGGGCCCGCCCGCGAACCTAAGCCCCGCCAGTCCGCCACTGAACTTGCGTGGAGTCGTTGAGCACGAGTGCGGAGGCGATGGCAACTGAGGCTACAATGCCATCACCGCTGTTGGCGCCGCTGCCTACAGACATGCAGGGTTGGTCTTGGAGAAAGTTTTTTCGAACATCGCAAACGGCTTGAGAAAACCGTTTTTGAAATCGCAAACGGCACGCACAAGTGTTTTTGCAGATCGCAAACGACTTGAAAAACAACGATGTTTCAAATCGCAAACGGCTTGAAAAGTTTGGAAAATTACAGGAGTCAAAGATTACAGGCGATCGGGCGTTGAGTGTCTTGAACTAATCCGTAGAACTTAAAGCCCAAAACCCGAAAACAGCGGACCGTAAAGCTACAGCTGGATAATTCTGGGATGACTTGACAAGACAAACGGTTCTTTCAAATAGTTGATGTACAATGTAGATTCTGTATGTTTTTTCACACCTCAACCCACCCTATAAGCCCTAGTTAGACCTGCAGCGCGGTTCGTCTGCTTGGCGGGTGGCAAAAAAAAACCCTAAACCCTAAGCCATACAGTTCAGCTAAGCGGGCGGCAAAAAAACCGCAAGCCTAGGAAACCCTGAGCTGTAGACTAAAACCCTAAACCTTAAACCCTCACTTACACCTCGGCCGTTTGGGGCTCGGCTCAAACTTCCCCGTGCTCCCCTCTGCTTTGCGTTAAGGGGCCTGACGCTGTTGCCAGTGATTTCCTTGACGATGCCTTGCAGTGCTTGCGCAGCTGTTGGAAACAGGTGTGGACTCGTCACTTGCCGGACCTTGATGAACAGAAGAATGCCTGCTGTGCGGTTCTTGGAAACCCTGTGTCGCCTGTTGAGTGGGCCCCCGTCACTGCTGAGGCGCTTCGTAAAAGTGAGATTTCTTCAGCTCTACGGTCAGACGGCCAAGCAACCTGAAGTTGTCACCGCCTCCATCCCCCAAGGAGATCCGTCTATCGCGCGAGGGTGGCTCCCATTGCCCGCGTGACGATTGAGTTTGGCTTTGCTTGGCGTGAATAGCGTGCTTGGGCTTAAAGAAAAGGAGCGCAAGGACCAGTATCATCATAGAACTGTCCGTGGTCGCCGGGAGCTTTTGGCTGCTGGAGTGTCCCCTGACAAGATCTCGCCCTGGGGCTTGGACGCTCAAACGAGTAAAATGCCTGCCTGTCCCGCTCAAGATGACAGCGCTGGTTGCTGCGTTTAGCGGCGTGAGCAAGGCTGCTTTGGTTGGGCGCGAGGTAGTGACCCGTGGGGGCCGTGGGGGCGCGAGGACATCGACAAGTTCGCCGTGAGCGTCGTTACCTCGCGGGAATCGACCTGGCTACAAGTGCCTCCGCGTCGAAGAGTTTGCTTTTTCTTGCCGTGTGTTGTGCACCAGTGTCAGCAGCCATTGGCGCGCTTTGGAAATCTCAGAATAGGATCCTTTGTTTTGACGGCGTAGCGTGCCCTGAAGCTCAGAAAACCGGCAGCTCTTTGCCTCAAGGCGACCGTTGGAGTGTCCCTCGCGCTTTCCTTGCTTCTCAACGTCCTGGACTCAAGGCCCAGGCATACTTTGACCCGCTGCAGATTATCTTTGTCAATGATCATAGCTTGGCGTGTGACTCTTCTAAAGAATGCGCTCTTGTCTGGGATTTCTGGAAGGAAAAAAGTGTTGCGCTCTGAAAGAACATCCTTGTAAGGCACAGTTCTACCACAGAACGGTGCACGGTCGCCGATGTTTAAGGAAGACGCATCAGCTCAGAAAGCTCCGCAAAGCCGAGGTTGTGGCTCTAAAATGCAAAGGGCTTCCTATCTCTCGGCTCTTGCATTGGCGTGCTATTTTTCGGCCTCAGATGCTGCAGGAGGATGGGGTTGGGTTCAAAAAGCCCTCCTCTGAGCGCCTGCAAGCGTCTCAGCACGATTTGGAAACATGTTGAGTCGAGACTTCGTTGTGCCTCAGTGCATCTTACCCAGTTGCTTTGTGGCACAATACTGACCTCGACTTTGCTTCGTGTTCTCAGCTTTTTTCGTCTGTTTGGAGATTCGTTAAGAGAAGGACTCGGGCTCTCTGGTTTGGCTTCCTCGCTCCTTTTTGGTAGGACTCGCAAGTTTTTGAAGGGCTTGGGTTTCCGTGAGAGCGGAGTCCGTGGCTCTGGGAAGGACCCTTGAACTTCGAGCTCCATACGAGTCCTCGAAGATGTTCTGCGTCAGCTAGGGGAAGCTTGAGGAGCTCTGGATTGCTCATGAGCAGTCAGGTCGTAGGGATGTTAGGGCGTTCTGCGCAATGCTGAACATGCAAAGCAAGCGCGTGAGCTTGCGGAAAGGAGTGCGTCTCTTGGGCTAGGTCCGTATGCCGTTACGCGAGCTCTCCCTGTGCCCCTTTGTCAAAGGACTTTGACGCTAAGTTGCACAGGTGGTGGGCCTGTGGCAGTAGCGGTAGACCTCCGGGAATGAGCCTAGGTTGCGCTCTGCGCTTTCGCTGTGTTTGGGAATTTTGATGCCTTGTCACACTTTGGAGCTATTGCGTCTTTGTCTGCGCTTGGTTCTTGCCTTCGCGCTTGATGGACAGCTAAGGAAGGTTTTGTGCCTTCGGGCCTTCGGGCTTCAGCTCAGAAGAGTCTCAAACAAAAGGCTGATCTGGTGCTTGCCTTCTGATCAGGAGTGACGCTCTTTCCCTTGGACACAATTTTTCCTTAAATTACAATAAGAGCCTGCCAGAATCCGGGTCTGTCAGGCTTCGCAAATGTGCTAGTTACCCTAAGCCGAGGGTTTGTTTCTTGATGAGTGGCGTGCTCTCATCAAAACTGCCTGGATTGGACAACAATGGACCCCGCCTGCCTTTCTGAGCACGCAGGCGTCTATTGATGCCATCTGGGACAGCTTCAGTCATACTTTCCGCACTGCTCACGCCAGAGCCAAGGGTCTTGAGCCTAAGTCTCTCCCTAAGCCGTTTAGGCCCCGCAACAGTCCCCCGTGTTTCAAACAGCGCCCTGGAGCTTTCTTGCCGCCCTTAAACCTGCGACAATACCGTAATCGTGGTAGTCACAATTCGAATGGGGAGAACCTCGCTGAGTTTGCTTCAAAAGAGCAGCAACTTAGAAAGTGGCGAGATAGAATGCTTGCCTGTGACAAGGAAGTTTTCAAATTGTTGCGTGGTCATTCTGGAGCGCCGACCTGCAATATCTTCTGGGATCAGTCCCCTGTTTAATTCCGCCCTTGAAGGCATATAATGCCTTAAAGCGTTTTGGAAGACCATCTGGAACCGTGAAACGACAGATGTTGACCCGATTTTTGACGCTATTGATGAGTTCATCACTCAGCTCAGAAGTCCCACTCAAGTCTGGGATTCGCTCTCTGCCGAAGAGCTTGCTGATGGCTCTGAAGCACTTAGGGGTTCCAGTGCCGGTTTAGATGGTTGGTCGGGTGATTGTCCCGTGTGCCAACTTGAGATCAGAATCCCTGCTGGCCCCAGAGCTCGGGAAAAGCTTCGGAAGAAGCTCTCCAATCATCTTCAATACCGCCGCTCTGCTGCTGAGCGCGCAAATGCACCTATTGCCTACTAAGGAGGCTCGAAACTGGGAGTGCCCTTTTTGTCAAAAGGCCTTGCCTCAGCTCTCCAAAAACAGCCACTCCAGCAGTGTTTCGTGCTCATTTCAAAGCCGAGCACTCGGAAACTACCCCCATGTAAACGGGTGCAGGTGGATTAGACCTGGGGTACTGCTTTATTCTGCGACCCAGCCACCTGCGGCCCGAGGCCTCAGCGGATTCTTTTATGCCCTGCAAGCTTGCTTATGACTCAGAAGTTCTCAACCCGCCGTGCGAGTAATTGTGGGCTCTGCCCCCTCTCCCCCCAAACACCCCGATTTGTGATTTCTTTTGCAGCCATGCAAGCTTGCGCTATGAAAAATGGCACGCCGTTACAAAAGAGGACTTGTTTAAAGAAAACATGCGCATCCTTTTCCAAATTTTGTTGCGAGCATTGTGTTGGGAAATGGGGAGTGGGCTGCGCTGCTCTTACACCCCCTCCTGGTGCTTCATTCTACGTCCTCTTTAATTCTTGGGCAACTTTTATTTCCCTGTAGTTTGGCAGGGGAACCTCTATTTCTTCTGTGTTGTCATAGGAAACCCTACCCGCTCCCCCCCGCCCAAACAGAAACGGCACAAAGCGCGAAAACAAAACGGTACAACAAAAACTCTTCCACCTGTGGCAGGATTCTTATGTGGTCATCATGGACTACCCCGCGACTGACGTAACAAAGTTTATGTTGGATGGCACGGAAGAGTATCACGAGCTGGCCCAAACCTTCTTCCACTATGTGGTGTGGCAAAGTGGCGGCCGGGCCGTTCCCTTCGACTTGCAGGGTGCCTGGGCCTCAAGGCACGAGTTCAAGGCTACACTTTTCAAGAGGATAGAAGCGCTTGCTTTAAGACCGCAAAAGAATGTAATTTCTCGCGGAAGTTGTTTTTGGTTTTGTTCTTGAAAACATCTTTGAATGTAACTTAGTTGCCATGACACTGCTTCTGGTCTGTATGTTGGTTGAGGAAGGGCCTGTGTGGATCGGCCACCGAGGATATGAGACCGGGCAGGGTGACCTGCTTCTCGCCGATCCCTGCCTCCTGCGGGACAGTGAGGAGGCCGTGGCCAATCAATGAAAGAAGGGGTGCTGGCAGAGTGCCGGACGCATAGAGGGACAGGAAGCACCGAGTCGAGGAAGGAGGTTGGTATACATTTTTATATACAGACATTTTGTATATCTATATATATACATATGGACATACAGAGATATATATGGTTACGTATCGTATGTGCATACACACATATGTATATGTATACATATATATGTACATATACATACATATGTGTACATGTGTCCCCCCCGACAACCTACCGCAACCGAGAGTGAAACACAGAGGAACGTCGACAAGTCCCCACCTTCAGTTGAAGCATGTAAGGTAAGTAGTTCTCTGATTTGGTGAGCATAGTTGGAAGCCAAGGATTATTTTAAGTCATACTGTGTAAATGGCCGGGAATATGGAAGAGAATGAAGGACCGATACTGGAACAACGGGGGGAATAATTCTAAGCAGGGACTAGAAGCCAGTTTTCCTTGGCGAATGAGATATTGGTTCCCAACTTGGGAACGTAGACGCTTGAATTGGGTTTCGGAGGTCAGTTCTCATGAGCTAAGAAGTTCCACGTTTTAAGAGTTCGGGAATGTTGGAAATAATTCAGCACAGCTTGCGTTTTGGATTTGTGGTCCTAAGCTTTAGATTCAAAGCAAAATGTTCGACTAGCTAGGTAGGTCGGGCGGGGTTTCGGGTATCATGTGTATGTATATTGAAATACACACAGGTTTGCAGTGAACATCAGCCAAGGGAAACGAAGACACCACAAGCCCTGCTTCCGAACATGTTCCTTCGACGGGAGGTTTCTGAGCAGTGCCGCGAAGAAGCATTTGCAGTGCTGCACAGGCCGTTTCGGGTTGAGCTTCGCTGCAGCTTTGGCCACCAGTTTGAGTATTGGTCATAGCTTAACACAACATAGCTCTAAGTGTTGCAGGTCTTGCAGTGTCGCCCCTTCAGACAATCCTGTTCTAAAGCAGGACGTGCACGCAGCTGTGCAAGGGCTTTGATCCTCACCGGCGCAGCGGCAAGGTGCGGAGAGTTTGTGGCGCCCCTTGGACAAGTCTGTCGCAAGCATGCATCCTCCTTGTATGTGGGTGTGCTGATGGATGTACATCTCCAGGCAGCACTGGCCAGAGTAAAGGGTCTGACAACATGTGGAGTTGTTGTGTTGTGGTTTGGCACAAAGATTGCAGATAACTCAATGAGACAGGATTCCCGAGCGGAAGTGGAATTGGATGCTGCAGTTGCACTGAGAATCAAGGTCCCATCCTGCAGCTTGCAGACCGCCTTGCGCTGAGACACGCCTTTTTGCAGTACTTTGGGAGTATTTGTCACGGCTCCCGGACTGTACACCTAGCAGAAGCAATACCTGGCAATGCCTCAAAGCCCTATCCTCAGACATTCCTGCTATGTTCGGTCGGGATCCTGTAGTTCGACTTAGACTCAGCTCGAGCAAGGCCTGCTTGATCAAGAAAGTTCCTACCTGTGTAGACATGTCTACAGGCCTGCCCGTGCTGCATGCAGAATGGAAGCACACAGCCCTGGCTGTCTCACCACGTGAACGTGCGGCCTGCAACCAGCGAGCCGCCTTCGTAGCAAATGATTTGTCCCAGGGAAAATCGCGGATTCAAGCAACAAGCAATGTAAGCGGGGCCCCCACGAAGTAGCGAAGTAGCAGCGCACACGAGCACGGAAGAGCACTGTCGGAGGCGACGGTGGTCACTGCGAGTGTTTGCCCTCAGCCCTGCAGGAGTTGCTGAGACGGTTGGCGGAGGTAACGGCGGCCGGTGCGCAGGGTACGTGACCTGATGAACGAGTTTTTTTTTAGCAGGAAGGTCGCCAGATCTTGGGCATGGGGATGTGACGAGAATGTGCTTTTTGTGAGTTGCCCCTTAGGCGAAGCTCTACCATGCAAATGGACTGCGGCTCTTCCGCCCTGACGACGATCTGGGCCTGCACATACCTTGGCTGCCTGCAGCCAAGGATCGGCTGCTGGCAAACCGCAACTTCGTAGCATGATTGCTACATGTCTGGAATCTGTATGAATCTGCACCTTGCGTGCAGGATGCTGGAGGGGGCGGCAGAGGCGTTGAGGTGCATGTCTACGGCACTGGACAGGCCTAGGGATGTGAAGACCTGTGCAGGAATGTCAGGTTGAGAAACGTTGGCACTGGAAACTCCTGTGCCGGAGTTTTTACCGTCTTCTTGCCGTCACGGAGTAGGCAGCTTTGCTCGGACTCCAGGTCGACACGGGTCCCAAGCCTGCTGGGGAGGGCTGGCTCTCCAGAGCTCTCCGTTCCTTTGGAGCATGAGGCGCCTTGGACCAAACGAGTTCCTCAACTCCCCACATTGAGGTTCAGGGTACTTAGAACCCGAATGATAACTGTACTTCTAAGCCCCCTAAGTCCCCTAAGTAGGTTATAAGTACCCATGAACCTCCAAGCAGATGTGACGTTAGCTAACGGTTGGTAGTAGCAGTGCATGTGTCCCGGAGTTTCTGTCAGGAGCTGCTCGTTGCCTGTAAGCCGCCACGTTGGTCCGTTGACTCGGGGGAAGCCGAGCGAAACAGCGACTGTTGCGCATTCAGGCTCTTTTAATGATGGGTTTTTTTCAGCATGATCGGCCCACAATGATCTGAGGCATTGCTTCGCTGGGAAGATATCTGGGAGCCCAGTACCCCGTCCGCCAGTTTCCCGTGCTGAGCGACCTGAGCGCTGCCAAGGGGTTTCTCCACCGACCGGGGCTCAGCCGGGCTCAGCTCCATCGCATATCGTTGTGATTCGTGGAGTGATCGTCATGATTCGTCGATGCTGTGCAGCATGTCTGCTTCTTTGGTTTTGTCCGTTTCTGAAGAAGGCCTGGACGTGCCCAGCTCTGGCTTGATCCTTGTGGCCAAGAGCTACCGGGCGTACTTTGACCTTCAACTCCAGCTGCAGACCGGCAGCTTGGCTACAGCTTGTCTTCGCGCATTTCTTCGAAGCCATGCTTTGGCCGCTGCAAGCCTAGAGCCGCTAGAGCCCGCTCACCAAAAGCGCCAAGGCTCGTTGCTTCGAGTGCCTTGTGCGACATTAGATTCTAATGGCTCTAGCGCTGAGCTGCCGACGTGCTGTCGACCGCATGCTGCGACGCCGCTTGCTGAGGAGTACGTGACAATGTGTCATGGTTGGTTGTCGAGCCAACGAGCTTCTGTGTCCTGGTGGCTATGTAGGACACAAGCATCACAGCAGGCAACAGACAGAAGACCTTGCCGGGGATTGTTGCCAACCTTTCAAGCGCTGGCTGAGGTACGAGCTCGAGTGCACGTGTGGCGCAATGGCCAACTGGATCATGCCTCGGTGTCACCATGTGGCAAAGTTGCTTGCACGCGCACCTTGCTGCATCAGAGAAGTCTGATCATGTAGAACTTGTGACGCTGGTAGCTTCGCTTCGATGATCTTCGATGTCAGGAGAATTGACTGCAGCACCAGGTAGCGTGAACTAAGGCCTCAAAGTCGTGGGATACTTTGTGGCGGGGGCATCCTGCTGCCTCCTTGCCATCCGTCTGGTGACCGGCCGTCACTGATCTGCACCGGAAAAGCACCTGTTCTTGCATGAGTACGCGAGGGGTCACAGCATCTTTCCCTTTCCAGGCATGCATCAGATTCGCTGCTTGGTCCGATAGTCGAAAGTGGCAACAACAGTGCCTTTTCTCTGGTATCTACTTTATGATTGCGTGAGCAATCGCGTTACCAGTGGTGAGGCCTGCACATGGCGCACATTGGCCACCCAACTCTGTTGGACGGCAAGTACAGTGCCATTTGGCAGCAAAGGTATCTGCAGTGCCAAACTTTTGGAATCTTGCAGTCAAGCTCCCTGTGCACATAACATCAAGGAGTGATCAAAGCAAACTGCTGCCATCAGGCTCAAGGTAGCAGGGCTACGGGGTGGCTTTTCTTATGACGGCAGCCGCTGTCCGCGAAGGACGCCATGTGGTGGAATTCGGGCCCACATCTCAGGCGGCGGATGCTGGTGGAAGCCGGACTGTCTGACAGCTTCCGCACGTCCCAATCCTTCTTCTCCCGATGCAGCGCAGTGGATGAGTTCAAAGATGCCGCTTAGCTGAAAACAGGGTTCGGTTGAGAGGACGGGGCAGGTGGGGCTCAGTCTCGCAGATGCCCGGTCTTGCATGGTCAGTGCCCGCTGCATTCGCGACTTCCTTTCGACTGCAGGTGCTGCAGTCGAAGTTTGGCACCTTGTCGAGGGCATGGCGGGTTCTGGACATCGATGGCAGCGGGAAGATGGACATGAGAGAGTTCTGCCAGGACTGGGTGCATAGTGCTGGAGAGAGCCTGGATGCATACACCGTATGATATCTGGCTGAAGCAAAGTATCCAGCCAGGCCCTCAACAGGCTGGGTTACGTTGGGAACATCCGTACGCTCTGGCATCTGCTGGACTCGACAAATGCAGGCCTTCGCTGTAGGGCTGCGGGTGAATCAATGCAGCAAGGCAGATCGACTGAATGATGTTGGTCTTTGAACCCGTGGCTCCAGGTAGCATCTCGCTGGAGGAGCTGGACCCGCGAGCGGCAGCTGCTTTGGAGAAGTTCCGGGTAGTCAGTCTGCAACATCACCAGTCAATCGAGCACATGTGGAAGGCCGGACTCGTAACCTTTATCTTGAGCTGGAGGACGGTTGCGGTGGGCCACGGCCCCTGGAATCCCTAGAAGCTGCCATGACTTCCGATCCATATACTTGTCGAGAAACCAGGCCAAGTCCAGAAAACTGTCCCTCAAGACATTGCTTAATTAGTCGAGAGAGATGTCCCGGCATCCCGACGTCCCCAACAAGTGTAGAAACCTGAGAAGCCTTTTGCTGAGCGCGTTCTTGCCTTTTCTCCATTCCCGCAGTATGCCTTGTATGCGTGCATGCCAGGCCATCATGGACATTGAGAAAACGAATGCCGTTAGCTTGAAGCTCTTCACACAGGGCTGCCAAGCGCTTGGCTATGAAGACGAGGAGGAGGCCGGGACTCGGCAAAAACAGTTCGGAAAAAGTCGGAATTTTGAGGCGCTCGGAGCATCTCCCAACATACCTTGCATACCTGCTGCGCGCACTTGATGTCTCCCAAGGTGGAGGAGCTCTTTCACCAGCTGCTGCTGAAGGGTGGCAGTCAGCACCTTGCACTGGAGGCCTGAGAGGGGTTCTGGACGTTAGAAGAGTCCGTGTGAATCGTTTTCGTGAAGCGGGTCCTAGTGCAGATGCCTGGCAGGATGTGCAGTTCCTCCAAAACTGGGAGGCCAGAACTAGAACTTCAGGAAGGCCAGGCTCAGATTCCCGTGTGCTCCAATGCAAGGAGACAAAGAGGCGGAAGCTGGAGAGGCGCCGGCTGGGCGTGCGCTGGGTAAACCGGGACCGCCACAGAAGTCGTAGACTCTTGTAGACACTCTCCATTGCCCTCGATGGCTTCGACAACTCCCACAAGTAGCCTGCACATGCCTCTGCCTTTTCAAACACGTGTCATTCTGTGTGGGGTGGTGCTCTCTGTTTGGGCAGCCGCAGGACCCGTTCTTGACCTCGCAGCCTCTCGACTTGATTTGATGTTGCCTTTGCTTTACCAACATCCTCTCGCCAGCAAGCCCGGACACTGTTTTTGGGGCCTCTCGGAAGATGAGTGGAAGCATTCGGGAGGCGCAGGCTCTACTGCTAGTGGCTCCTTAGCAGCCTGTCCCCATAGAGCCGATGCGCAAGGGTCCTGGATCCAAGCCGCGAGTCCAACACCACAGAGTATACCGAACAGGTCGGCGAGCACGAGTGAATGAAGCATGCCCGTTGCACATCGGATCTTGTGTTTTTTTCTTCGTGCCCAGACCCCGGTTGAACTGGTGCAGGTCTCCATGGACATGGAGAAGGAGCGGCCTTGGAAGGGGGGCGGAGAAATCGTCACGCCACATTCTATCACGTTGTTCGGGTATTGGTGGATAGGAGAAGGTTGAGGTGCGAGTCAGGAAAGCCAGCTGTCCGGAAAAAGACAGCCATGAGTCAGGAAAGTCCCACCGCTCTCCGGCATCAGAGTATCCGGCATCAGAGGGTTTAATCGGCCTGCATGGTGATTAAAACTCAGCCTCTCTTGTCGTGCGTTTGCATCATAGCTCCTCCCATTCACCTCTCATTAAAGCGTGCTACCTCTCGTTAAGCGGTCATAAGGTAGGGGGTAGGGGCGATATGAGTAACGTCTCCCTGTTTCTTGTCTTATACCTGGCCTGTTTTTTTGACAGACGTTTCTTTTTTTTTGTCTCAAGCTTCTGCCTGGACCTGGTGTCATGGTTCCATGCAGGAAGTGCAGCACTTCCGAGAATACTTGGGCCAAACTTTTGGCTCGCTGCCACAAGCCTTCGAGGACTGTCAAGCCCTGGTATGTCCTGGTGCCTTTGCGCTTGTAACAGTTGGCATTTTCTTGCCATGACTTGCAAGCCGTCCTGCCCTACAAGGAAATGGATGCGAACAAGAACCTGGTCCTTAGCTGGATCTGTAGAAAGAAAGGTGAACGCTGGAGCTGGTGAAGTCCAGCTTCCAGCTGTTTCCCCCTTCTGGGAACCCTTATGTCACGACCGTGAGTTGAGTTGTTGGGCATTCACCTTGATAAGAGTTGAACCGCCTGAGGAGTGGTGAGCTGTCATTGGAACCTTGGCAGCCTCAGAGAGATTGCGATGGTGTATATCTTACCCCGCACTTCACATGTGAATTGAATCTCCAGGAAGATGGAGAGCCAAAAAGGGGCTCTCATAATCAAAAACCTGTAGAGCAGCCCCCGGCTGCCCTGAGAATTCAGGGGCCCACCTTGGGGTGACGGGGCGGACAAATAGTGGAATCAAGAGGCATTGTGAAGCCTGGAATGCCGCAGCTCTTGCCACTACCTGTGAGGCAAGCACGCCAACTTTTTGAGTAGTTCGTTGCCTTGGACGGATCGTAACAGAAGAGAAGGGGTTGGTGAGTGCGGTTGGGGGGTTTCCTTCCAAACACGTACAAGTACTTACCCGAGGTGATATAAGAAGCCTGCTTAGTGGAGGTTTGAAGGCCTGAAGTGCCGAGGCACAGAGACATGTACCGCAGCACCAGTCTGATGAAAGAGCAAGGTGGAATTCCAGTCTGTGGTCGCCAACCTGCTACGATACTGCCGCCATGGGGAGGCAGAAGCGAATCCCGGACAAGAGTGAATTGCGTTAAGTGTGAGTCGAAGTTACCTTGAATGCTAGAGCCATTTCTTAGCTGCACATGCTTGACATGGCAAGTGCTTCGAGGTTCAAGGTGGACAGGTGCTGTTACAGACCAGTGTCAGCTGTCAGGCGCGCAGGCTTTTCCGCGCGCTGATCGGCAAAGAGGGGATCGATAAGCCCCCTGTGTGCACGAGTCTGTGCTACATACTGCTACACTGACCTATCGTGTCCGCTCGTGTCCATCAGGTTAACTTGGCAAGAACTTGGCATCACCAAAGTGGAGCCTCAGCTGTATTTTGACCAGCAAGGTGGGTGTCAAGACCTGCAACTGATTCTGTGATCCCAAAGCCAGACGACTTGTCTAAAATTCCTGAAGCTTCAGGAATGGACTGCATACCGGATGCAGAAGTTCCTTGGCTCGCAACGCTGTAGTGAAGTTGCAGTGACATGGAATTACGTGTCCACAGTACTTACCCGCAAGTACTCAAATCTATTTCTAGAGACCAGGTCCATGGAGGCCCGGCGGCAGCAGACAGAGGCCATTCTCAACGCTCGGGCACCTTTGGGCGCGAGCCCCCGCCCCGTGCCTGCGTGTGGATGCAATGTGGATGCATGTCGATGCGTGTAGCAAAGGGAGGGTGAGAGGGCGTGTCAACTTGCGAGTTCGTAGCCATGCGTACATGAGGAATGAGGCACGCCGAGAATCACCACATCGAGCGCATACGAGAGCCTCTCGGTTTGCAAACGCACTTGTGAAAGACTCAGCAGGATAGCGAGCATCCAGGCGAGGTGTACACCCATTCATGGACTTTTTATGTGTTCTTCCCGAGCTCATTGTAGAGGGACAAGGCCAGCACGTGCATGCTATTGAACGAGCTTGTGAGGAAAAAGTCGGCGGGAAAGTTTGTCTTTAATTCGCCGCTTCCTCCCGGCTGGGGTGCCTGCGCCAGCATATGACAGAGTGCAAACACGAGTCACCAACCCGGGGAGATGTTGAAGTGTCCAGCTCAGGACCTCCGCCCGAGTTCGTACCGTTGGAGCCTCCGGCCAGCAGGTTCGGGAGACGTCTTCTTGCAGGCAGGGCTGTAGAGTGTCGGAGCCACAAGCTTTTTGCCAGGTCGCGGCGCAAGCGCATGCCGAAGGTGCCAAAACCACCAACACTGCTCAAACCCTTATCTCGATAAACCGGCAAATGCGGGAGCCGATGCTTTCATGCTTCGGCTCTCAGTTCCTGTTGCTCGGTCTGAACAAATCTGTACCGGAATCGGCTCCGAGCCCCAACATGGGGCAGAGGAGCCTCAGGTTCGGGGGCCTGGCTGAACAGCAGCCCGGCGGGAGGAGGGTCGTCCAGTCGTCCAGCTAGCTCGCGACACGCTGGACCACCTCCTCTGGCATGCAGTGCCCCCAAGACGAGATCGGAGCATTTAGGTGCCGTTGTTTGAGCGGCCGCGTTGCCCTTGAAGAGGGTTGTTTCACTGTGCCGATGCCACAGCACGACTGGGACACGGAAGCCATTTCTTTGTGCAGCTGTGCTGTGCCAAAAGGAGATCACGCTGCCGCAAGTGGTAACTTTCGCATCAGTTTTTCTTACACAAAATGCAGGGCTGAGAACGATAGGCCGTATCATATCTTAGGCGGCTGCATCAGAAGAAGTAAACCCAGTGCAGTTTGCTCGCATGGAAGCGTTGCTGTGCCTAGGGTGTGAGAGCTGTGAGCGTGCTTGGTGTATCCTGTCTGCATGTCCTCAGCCCAGGCAACTAGCACCATTCGCAGTGATGGCCAGTGTCCCCGAAACTTCCTGCACAGGCAAGAGTATGCAGAACAGTTGTTGCTCGATGCAAAGATGTTGGGCTGGCATGTCGAGGTATCGCCTCGCCTTCAATGCTGCAGGCAGTCCGCTTTGATCGGTCAGACTCAGTTTAACTCGTCATTCCGTCGTTGGACGTCTCCTTGCAGCTAGGACGCTACGATGTATGCAATGCTGCCACTAAATCTTGTGAACACCCTTTGCTTTGTGCATTTTGTGCGGGCATGCAGCTTCATACCAGGCAGCAGCTAGGTCCAGAGGGGGTTTGGGGGGGGGAGAGCGAAGAGAGCGGAGAGAGCGGTGGGCGTTGCGGGGGCGGTGGGGGTTTGGGCATGCGCTGGAGCCCAATAGATACTTTACAGTTCGTGCTGCATACATGCTGCAGAAGATACAGGCAGGATGGAAAGCTGGCGCTTGCTTAGCAGGTGAAAATGTTGCTGCCTCCGCACCGCTTCCCGCCGACCTGGCGGACTTCATGTGACGCGGCATGGGCGTGTGTTTGCACGAGGGCATCGCTTTGCAGTTTGCGCTTGGGTTGGTGTTTGCGGCTGCTTTTTGGGAGTGACTGAGTCTTTGTTTTTTGTATCCGCGTGAGGCAAACATGCGTGGCGTCACCTAGCTGCATCAGCGGCTGCTCGTCAGATGGATGCTGAGTGTGGAGTTGCGCGCAAAGCACTTGTGCCTAAGGGTGGGCCCTCGGTCCGCCACCTCCGGTGCAGCTGTGCTTGAGTGGAAGAAATGTCCTGAGTGGGGTGCGGTGGAGACGATCTCACCAGCTGGCCAAGAGAGCAAAACAGGCCGGCTGTTAAAGGTCTCTTTGGGTATCTTTGGGCGGCTTCAGCTGCAAGAGGAGAGCAAGGAATCGAGGAAGGATCACGAAGGATGAGGGCGGATAAGGAAGGATGGGGAAGGATGAGGAAGCCTGAAGGATGAGAAAGGATGAGGAAGGGTGAGAGAATGAAGGATGAGTACTGATGAGGAAGGAAGCGGAGGCCGGGGGGGAGTGGGGCTGGAGGAAGAAGAGCAAGTCCAAGCAGAAGAAGAATGACACGAAGATAGTTGCCAGTTGACCGATCAGCGCCAAGGCCCTCCAATACATCTCAATGCCCCGCAACGGCATGCAACGACCCCACAAAAGCCTTCAGAGAGACACAAAGACAGAGCTTCGTAGAAGAAAAAGAGTTCTTGGTTCGGGGCAGTGATGGCCGAGATGGGGCACGAACGCGGTGGCAGAAGGCGGCGGCGGCAGGCGCAGAACCATGGCAACTACGGCACCTGAGAGCAGGACCTAGCAGGACCAGTAGCCCAGCGAGCACAGGCGCAGAGGGGTTTGCTGACGGGAGCACAACTTTTTCAAAAGGGTTCAGGGTTTGGGGCCGGCAACAGTAGCACAAATCTTGGCTGTCGGGTTGTCGGGCCTCAAAAGGGGACTCAGGCTTCGAAGTCGACAAAGAGCTGGTGTCCTCTCGTTGAAATTTGATCTGCCAGAGACAGGCAAATTTGAGAAAGCTGTGCGATCCAAGCGGTCCCACACATCAAACAAAGAGGGAGGAGCAGGCACAGAAAATTCTCGTTCCTTTTCTGAGGTTCAGCGGGCGCCTCCAGATCAAGGGAAGCAAGGCTCGGAGGGCAAACGGGGAAATCCTACATGGAATCCAAGCTCTCCACTTGAATGCACATACATTCCGTAAGGTTCCATGGGTCCCCGCTTTGAAAGCACAACTCGCTGCACAATCCCTGCTTCAGTACACGTTCTCTGCAAAGGCCTTGTCTACAACAATCTGCTTTTGTAGCCTCTGCGAACAACTGTGTGCCAGGCAACAGTTTAAGACGACCGATGAAGTTTCGAAAGCCCAGATCTAGACAACCACTGCCGAAGCTAAATGCAATGAAAACGGCCTGAGAAGGCTCACCCTGCCGCAACTTCATTGGGACTTTGTGCAAGGACTCTTTGCGACACCCTGATTTTAGCAGTAGCTTGTCCCGCAGATTGTCCTAGCATATCTCCTTCGAGACCCTGAACGAATGTATTCATAGGTCTTTTACATGCCCCCCTAAAGATCTGACGTGCCATCCTCCCACGTGGAGGGTGGTGGCCTTGCATCCTCGATGTTCGCGGCTAAGCAGAACCAGAGAGGCATCGCGTCAACTTGACTTGCCCGGTCGTACTCGAGAGAGCTCCGCTGGCGAATGCTATGGCCCAGGTCTTTAGGAGATCTTCGTGCTGGCCCTCGGAGGGCAGGCATCCCAACTCTCCCCAGTGCTTGCACACGATGCTTGTTTTGGCTCCAACAAACGGTATAGAACCCGGCCGAACTAAGCGAGAGTTGTGGCGTGTGCCAGCACTGAGGATTTGCAGGCTGCGGCGGAGGCACGCCTCAGCGCAGCGCCTGGGCCTCGGGAGCAAGTTTCAATCACCTTCAGAATCTTTCAGAGATCGCCGAAGTCCCCTGCTTGAAGTGTTGCAAGTGCTTCCGCAGACGGGAATTGATAGAGGCCTTTTGGCGTCGTGCTCAGCGAGGCGTGGAGCACTGCTTGGAAGAGACTACGGGGCCTCAACTGAGGGCTTGCTGTTCTCGGCCTGGTGGAGAGGTTGTGCAGGCTCCGCTTTCCAGCTCTGTCCATGCTTTCCAGGTCCCATATGAATCGACACTGCGTTCCAGTTACACGCTGCGGGACGCGGTTGCTGGTCATGTGTCAACGCCTGTTGCAGTCCTGTTACCCGTGCTGTGTCTCGTTCCTACTCTCGCATCTCTCGGCATCAACTTCCCTGATGACTTCCTCGGCAGCACCACCAGCACCACCTTAATTTAAACATGTGCGTTATTATTGTGAGTCTCACTGCAGGCTTCCTTTCGTAGCTCAGCTTGTTGTCACTTGTCAGGACACACAGTGGCCACCGCCCGAGGGGCGGACGCGCATAGGCGGCACCACTGCTGTGGAAATTCCAAGGGAGGTTACATGGTCCCGGACTATAGTCCCTTGCCATTCTAACGGGTTCTGGAGTATGGCTTGGGCCTTATAGGGTTTGCAAGGCTATGTGCCCCCCAATCAAGGCCCACGACAAAAGAGCATGTATGTATCTACCTTAAAGAAGAATGTTGGCAGACTTGGACCTTGTGCATCTGCAGCAATGGCACGCCTTCGTTTGCGATCAGATTAAACGTGTACATGTGTTGATCACGTTGATGGAGAGTCTAATTGTAAACGCTTGCGCGCGCCGCCTCGGCAGCCGGGCCAGCCCACAGGAAAGGACTCACAAAAAGGGAGGGGGGGGTCCAGGGAAGGGTCCCAGGCGCCCCCTCTATACGAGCCGCCGACAGTCGGGACCCCCCACGGCATCGGTTTGCAGCTCCTCAAAGCGATGGGGGGGGTCCCACACACGGGGGGGGCATCACAAAATTTGCTTGTTCCAAACGCTTCTCGGCAGGAAGCCGAGGCGAATTGAGCCCTAAACCCTCAACTGGGTGGCACAAAAACCCTAAACCGTAAACCCTAAACCCTTTTGTTCTTACCATTAGCTGCCACAGCTGGTCTTCGATGCCCAGCCGGCTTGAGGCTGAAGCGCTGGGATGCGCAGGGGAGCTCAGGGTTCATTGAGATACGGCCACAAAACTACTATTTGCTTAAGAACCCCCAACAAATTAAAAAATAGTAATCCCGACATTGCCCTTATAAAAGGAAGATTTTTATAAACATATTTTTTTGGGGGGTTCTCAAGCAATTGCTAGAAAAGAATGTACTGTAGGCAGCCCGAGAGTGTCGCAGTGGTGCTTAGATTTCTTTCGCAGCTGCTGCATTGATGCTGCTACAGGCTCTCATGCAGAGAGACTCAGTCGTGCGGAAACTTCGGCTCGCAAGGGAACTCGCTAGAGAACAAAGCACAACTAGGCACTGCATCCTCTATAGCAGACAAGTACTACAGTGCGTAACGGGTGGCTCAAGCACTCAGGCACATTTCAGGTACCAGCTCTTTCTACTTTCTGCTGGCAGCCATGAAAGGCGATCAGCTTCCACGCGTCCCGCACGCGCTTGGTGAAAGTGCAGCGATGACCGAAGCCTCAGCAGTGTCAATGATGGTCCATGATGTGCTTACGCAGCACAACCAAGCGATGAGTGACCGCTTGGAGACTTGGCTGCTCAACTTGGACCTACGACTACAGCAGATCGCTGATCAGGCGCAAAGCCACAACACGTTTGCATCACGAGCATCTCTGATCGCCTTGTCAGTGCCTTGTCCATGATCGCTTCCGGTGAGCTGCTCTGCCAGGGAGATTGGATGGGCAGAAAGGGTAGCGATGCGGGACACTTCATGCCACACTTGGCCAGCGTCGAGGAGGCATCTGATGAGGACAGGGCTCTTGTTTTGTCGGAAGCATCCAGACGCAAACCGTGAGTTCGATGACAGTCAAGCACACTTGCTCCAGCTCTCTGTTGCTCGCAGACATGTTCCAAAGTCTGCTGTCTGAACTTGACAGACCAGGAGGGACGTTCCGTGCGCGTCGACTCCAGTGAGAACGTGGGCAGTGGTGAGCATACAGGCAGAGCGATGTGGCAGTGTTATGTAGGCTGCTCTTGTTCGACAGATATTCGTTAGGGGACGAAAGGAGGGACCCTCGCAAGGACCTTATGGGTAATGTAGGGGCCACTTAAGGTATACAGGGACAATATAGGGGAGAAAGATTCAGGGTCCCCCTCTAGGGGTCCCTCCTTATATCCCTTAAGTTGGTGGCTATCTGCATTTTCGCGTCAGCTAATACTGCTGGGGTTCTTAAGTCTGAGTTGGTACGCTGGGTTCCAGTTCCCCGATTGCCATTGCTCTTGGGGAGGCGGACGGGACCACCGACGCTAGTCTGCACAGTATCAGTAGGGGTGCGCAGCTTCTAAACAGCCTGGTCCACTGCACCAAGCCCATGATGCCCCCGAGTCAGCTGCCACAAACAAACACCTTGGCATGTTGCAGGGATGCTTTCGCGGGCTTAGGTGAACAGACTGAGCAGGAGGCAGCTCGAAAAAAGGCCTCCATGGTGGTAGAGGCCTTCCACCTGGAGAAGAAAGAGCAAGAGATGCTAGGCTTGAACCTAGTTGGACGTGTGGCATCCCGAGCTCAATGAATCTTGAGCGCTTCATCTCTATCCGAGGCCTTCTGAGGAGCCCGAGGAGATCAAAGGCTGTTGGAAGTATTGCTGCTGGCTGGCGGCAAAAGTCCTCGCTTCCCAGGCCTGCTTCAAAGCCGTGAGATTGCAAAAGCGGGATTGGGGCACTGAAACTTTCAGAGAAGTGACTCTGCAGCGGAAGCGTTGCCATCCTGGCTCCAGAAAGGATCTGCTAGGGGCAGGGGATTGAGATGAAACAGGGCTGCGTAGGGCTGCAGGGCGTTAGCATGAGCTCTAGTCGTGTCACTTGGCGCTGGCATGGTTCGCGCTGTGACGAGAGCAAGCTGAGTATTCGCCACGCACCTTTCAATTGGAGATCTGTCGGCTCATTGGCGCGGATGTGGGAGGTGACATCTCACCAGTTTCGCACCTGTGCCCTTCTGGGCCCGACGGTGCAGCTTTGGAAGCTGGAGCCGGCGCCCCTACGACAACTACAAACAATAGTAACAACAACAACAATAATAATAATAATCAAAATCATAATAATCATAATAATAATCGTCATAATAGTAATAGTACTAATAATAATAACAACACACCAAAGCAGGCCATGGGTGATGTGCCCATGGGTGTCCAAGGGCAGATTCTGCAGATCTGGGACGTGCAGCCGGTGAGGGGCAACCGCAACCTTTTCACCCCCGGCTGCATGCGATGCATTCGTTTGCGCATCTATGTGAGATGCTCAGGGCAGCTGCCTGTGAATTAAAACATGTTGCGAGGCAGTTGCAGAGAATTAGACCTGAGACCAATGAAATGGGAGCAGAGCAGCGCTGAAAGCATCGTCGTGCACAGCCGTGGCTTGGGATCACCAGTTGGCACATGTTAGGTGTGAGGAGCATGGATTTTCCTTTGCGAGCAGGTGGCACATCTTTTCTTCGCGCTGGTCGTGGTCTCAAACTCTGTATTCTTGGGGGTGCAGCTTCAGTACCAGGCGGTGAACAGGGACTACGGATCGAGCGAAGGGTTTCTGATATTGCATCTGGTGTATGCCATCCTCTTCACGATTGAGGCTCGGCCACGTGCAGAAAGCATAAAACCCCCCACCCCCCCCCAGAGATTAGAGCCCTAGACTCTGCAGATCTTTGTGCACCCCTCTTGGCTGTTGGAGGTTTGCTTGCACCTGTTGGCGGAGGGCCTGCGGACATATATCTGTGCCGAGGACTGGGCATGGAACTGGTTCCATGTTTTGATCTCAGAAGCCGAGCCAAAGAAAGCCCGTACTCGTGTTTGTGCCAACTTGAGCAAGGGAGCGTTCCTCTAGCAAGAACAGCTCTGGCATAGCTTAGGCTCGACGTCTTTGTCGTGACTTCCTCCTGGGTGGAGCTGTTGATAGACTTGACAAACTCCGAAGACAACACGAGCAGGGCGAACAGCAATTTGCGGCTCATGCGCTTACTCCGAGTGGGACGTTTATTCCGCGTCGTGCGAATCATCCGGGTGGTTCAGCTCTCAGTTGTTTACGTAGTGGGGCCACCCCAGAGATTGGCAACAAAGCAATCCGATCCATTCCGATCCATGACATCACTTGGAGAGAGAGTCGAACTCCAAGGTCAAGTTTTTCCGCTCCCTGCGCACTTTGGTCCACTCGCTGGTGGGTACCCTGAGATCCTTGGTATGGGCCATGATCCTCCTCGGGTTGATCATATACATCTTTGGCATTCTGCTGACCGACGCAGTGCTTGACGCTGTGATCGAAGCACAAGAGTTGGAGACCCCTCTCCCGGAGAATGCAAACGGGGAGAACGTGTCCCACTACTTTGGGACGTTGTATTCCTCTACACTCACATTGTTCAGAACGATCTCGGAGGGTGTAACGTGGAAGATTCCCGACGATCTGCTGGTTGGCATGAACTCCCTAGGTTGGTTCTGGGCCAACATCTATCGCTTCTACATAGCTTTCTGCAGTTTTGCGGTATTAAATGCACCTTGGCACAGTCTCTTCCTCCATTCAAGATAGTGTGATGTGAGAGTCTGGCAGTTCGCTGCCGATGTGAATTTACGTGGGTCGTCCTGTCGGCCTCCGCTTGTCCTTTGCCTGTTTTGGGGGGTATTTGCGCCACAAAAGTTTCTCGCAGCCAGGTAATGACTGGCGTGTTCTGCAACAGTGCTATCAAAGCGGCAGAGAGCGATCACGAAATGGTCGTCCAGTCATTGGTTCAGACGCGACAGGACTCCCCCACAGTGGTCTGCTCTTCATTCGGGGAAGAAGGGAAGTTTGGGGAAGTTCATGAAAACACCTGCCAGGAGCTCAAGGATCAAGTTGCGCAATTGTTCTACCAGACTCTGGGTGCGTTTAGCATGGTTCACGTTCATAGTTGTTGCTAATCATGTGTTTTTAAGTTGTTACTGTCACTATAGTCGTCGTCAGGGGTCGGAGGCGTCTGCTGTCATATGCTCCGATGCACCATTGCGTGCTGAGCGTTCTCGCGACGAGTGTTTCACAAACGGCATCCTTGCTATCTCAGCCTGGTGGCTTTCAGGTACCTGTTGCGCGCGGATGTGGCATGTTTTTGCAAAGCGGTTTTGAGACCGCAAGCCTTGCGAATTTACATCAGGGCGTCCGTAGGTCTACGCAATACATTCCCTCCGGTTACGAAATGCGTGTTTGGGGGTGTTGTATCGTTGCAAGAAGTGTTTTTTCTTGGTGTTTTTCTGAGTCTTTGCGCCTTGTTTCATGTCAGGGACCATGCGCGAGCGTTGCGTCGCGTCATGAACTGAATCATGAAAGGGCATGGCAATCGCCCAGAGGAGAAGCATCACTCCTTCAAGAGAGCAATACTTTGTGTTTGGGCTTTGCTTTGGACCTCCCCGGCCTCCAGGAGCTTCCCAAGCGCCCTACGGGGCAGATGCCAAGGATGGAATGTCGTAGGCCGTTGCGGTGCCCAGTACGCTGGCAGAGAGCTGTATTTATTGCGTTTGTGTGTGTGCTCCCCCATACCCAATCACTAAGCCCTTTTTGCAACCATTTTGGGCCTGGACAAGGGCTTGCGCTACCTCGGCCAGACCTGGCACATTGGTTTGAGTGTTTGCTCTGCTTCTTCTGAAGTTGTTTGATGCCAAATTCTCTCGGGCTTTGGTGTTACGAAGCTAGAGCAGGAGACGAGTACGCTGTCCCTCATGTGGGAAAACAGCATTCAGAACTGGATTGCTGAGGCTTCCGAATCTGGCGAGGACAGGTTTTAAAGGTTCAAGTCAAAAACCGAAACCCTAAACGGCTCCGAGTAAACCTGTTTTTGTTTGAAGCCAAAACAATTGGTATGGTTTTTGTTGGCATTTTTGAACCATTCTTTGCTGGATATGTTGAACCCAAAACCATTGACATATTAAAACTATGCCTTTGAACGCCCTTTTGGTTTTCTGGCTTCTTTGAATCACGAAGCCAGTCAGCTGCAAGGTGCCGGCCCCAAGTTAATTGACCCAAGACCCCTTCACCTCAGTCCATACTCCTATATACTCCTCTATACTCCTGTGGTTGTCAGCAAGCAACGGGCTGCTGGGATTGAGTCTCTCCCCCTAAGGCCCTAAGCTCACCGAGGGACAAACCCTGGCCACCTGCTGGCTTTGTAGGGTAAACATCGGCCTTGCTTGGCCAATCGAAGGGGCCGCAACCTTTCTTGTCCGGATGCGATGAACTGGGGCGGGCAAGCCCAGAGAATCCCGCATAGTATCTTTGCTGCCCAATCGTCAATCCCAGAAAAGTGCCCATCGACCTGCTAAGTTTCAGTGGGGACGTTCGAAGCAGATACATGTAAAGTTATTCGGGCTGGGACAACCTTTCTCTTCTTGTTCTATGTTTCTCTGACGCTTGGATAGCTGGAGGATCGATGAACGTGGTCAGGGTCAGATCACTTTCACGGAATTCGAGAAACTCTTTGAAGAAGATGCAGTCAAGGCCTGATTCCTCAGCCCTCTTTCTTGATGAGTGTTTAGCGTACTCTGCTCCAGGCTTTTTTCGAATCGCTCCAAATCGGTGCCGTCGATGCCTGGACCTTGTTCCAGAGCCCCGCGGCAAAACAAGAGGGCAGCGTCGTAGATTTCATTGTGCATCGCCCACATGCTCACATGCTTGTATCAATTTCAATCAAAGCGCGTTTGGGACTTGTGGATAGCACGTCGTTTGTGGGCCCATACGTCTTCAGGCTTAGATATGGACGGGGACCATACGATCAGCGTGGATGAGTTCACTGAGAGATGCGGCTGGTCATGACCAAGCCCAACTATTGTGCATCCCACTGTGGTATATTGTGCTAGGAGGTCGGGATTCTTCTGCACACCTGCACCCTTTGCAAAACTTGGCGTCGCCAGAATTCGAGAATGAACTAGTTGGCTTTGTGGAGCAAGCGTGGGGGTTGGCTGCTGCTTCTCTGGCGGATGGACTTTTTGCAGAATGTGCAGAGGCTCCAACAGGAAGCTTTCTGGTTCTAAGTTCCCAGGTCTGCAGCTACATGGCCCTGCTCGTTCAGCAGACCTTTACGCTCTGCGGCAAAGCAGTGTACCTCGGACAAAACTCAAGGCTTCGAGGTGTGAATGGCCCGGCCCTCCATACAGATGGAGAAAGAGCACTAAGAACTACTCAGTTTATTTCTGTCTGGTTGTTTTTTTCTCGTTCACTGAGCCGCCAGTCGCACGTAGATCAGGAAAGAAGTTGTATCCTGCCAAGATACTGGCAAGCACGCTCCATCCAAACCCTGTTCAGCCGGTCCCCTGCGGTTGGCACGTGCTGAGACGAGGGGTGGTTCCAAACATGATGTGTAGCTAGCTGGAGTTCCCAGCTCTCCCAGGCGAAGATTGGCAAGCAGCTCCACGTAATCGAAAAGGCACAGCAGCGACTAGACGCCCAACTTCTACGTGCAGGCCCGCCTGGATCCCACAACATGAGTTATGCGGTTGATGAAAGATGCTGTTTGTCTCTATGTCGAGGTTGCTTTGCACTGAACATTCACTGAGTCCCCCTGCAAGCTCTCTCTTTGTCAGCCGCCTTGTAGCAGGCAGCGCCTTGTCGACAACCCTCGGGGAACCGAGTATTGAGACAGGGACAGCGAGCGAAACAAGCCAAGAACGCAGGCATTTCCGTGTTTGAATTGACCGATCGCGGTCACCTGCTTTGAGTAGCGTCGGGCAACAAGCACATATCATCAAAGCAAGTAACTATTCACGTACGCACATCTTGTCCGGGCAGGGTGGAGTTGGAAGCGTTGGATCAGTTCCGCGGTAGTCTCATAAAGGTCCAGAGCAGTTTTGCTGTCAGCCCCGAGTGGCTGGCCTCCCTGACAGTTCCGGAGTCGATGTTTGCTCCTTCGTAGATCTAGAGCGGTGGAAGGGAGGCAGGACCTCGTGTCGTGATGTGGTAGCATGATTTGCGTGACTCCACAAGCTTCTCGGACAACATGCTGGCCATCCTTCCGGACATCCAACACGCGAGGAAGATGCTGGATAAGTCCAGGCCTCTGCGTCAATGCAGAACTGCGAAAGTCAGTCGCTGCTGGTTTCAAACGTGGGGACCAATCCCTAGCACCTGGCCACTGGCGAAGCCAGCGGGTGGACGTGCAGCACATTCCACACGTCATTGCAAAAAGCGTGGTTGTGTGCTCTGCATTCACTCTGCATTCTTCATATTCTTCATATTCTTGACGCGCTTTTTTTTTTGCCTCGGATCCGAGAACCGCCTTGCATCGTCCTAAGATCATGCCCGCTGGGAGTTGCGATGTCCATGTAGCGCAGGATCAGCCAAGATATTCGAAGGCGTACAAGGGAACATAAGGGAGATCAAAGAAGCCTGAATGATCAAGGAGGGCTCTGGGAAGTTCAGTGACATTGGACGTCGAGTCGGAAATCATTGTGGACCTTGGATGACCTTGGTTCCTCCGAGCGGAAGCCACCGGAAGAGAGCACTTCCGAACCATAAGCTTGATCAAGATTGTGCACAAAGCCTTGACAAATCAGAGACAGCTTGACAAACTAGGACATCCAAGCCGGGTTTCGGAGCGGCCAGGAACCGAACCAGGACCAGCTGCTTTGCGGTAGGGTGCCCTGCTCTCCTTGCCTGCCATGGCGGATCCGCACTCCTTGCCTGCCCTGGCGGATCTGCTGCACGATGTGCCGAAGCTGGTGGAGGAGGTCTTGCAGAACGGCCATCGCGAGACGCTAGGTTGCACAACACTTCGTTGGTCATAGACTCAGACCTAGATCTGAAAGCCCGAGTAAAGTTGGCGATCTTTAGCATGACCTTTACCCTAAACTCTTCCGTGAAGTGTACGTGGCAGATGTGTCCTTGGCCCCCCAGGCCGGCCCACAGTTGCAAGCCTCGGCCCACTTAGGCTCCTCACGCGCTTGGATGCGCGGCTTGGAGACTTCGAGGACTTGCTACGCTTTCGCCTGGCGAGGCTTGTCAGAGTGTTTGCCCTGCCTCATCCCGCACCTCTCCTGATGTCCAATGTGAAATCCAGTTCCAGGCACGATGTACGTGCATTTGGATTCTCGAAAGAAATCATGCCCAGCAAGTTGAACCGTGAAAAGGGGGGGGGAGGCTTGGTCAGCCCTTAGGCCTGGGCATGGGCAGAAAGAGATGATGTGAGAAAAGCAATGCCGTGAGAGCCCACACGTGTCCAGGTCTGAAATGAGACTCTCAAGCGAGCTCGACTCGGGTGACATCCCTCATGTGATTCGGATGACTGGAAGCTTCTAAACGGCAACTGGAGCTCGTGTAGATGACATTCCCCGGAGCAGCACTTTTTTTTTCAGGCACTGATAAGCTTCAGCGGCAGCGGTCCAGCGCGCAGTCGAACGAGTCCGACCTAGGCATGGACCCTTTAGACAGCAGCTTGGCCCTGAAAGGATTCCCTCATTGAGCCAGTGCTTCACAAAGCTGTGGCGGCGCATCGCAATGTTGTGTGTTTACATCGGCTGGATCTGCAGTAGAGAAGCATCACTGAAGCATCTTTTCGTGGGGGCAGACTCTGAGCAGCTTCAGCTCTGAGGCCACGACCTGGCCCGATTGACGCATGCGCGAGTGGCAGAGGCCTACGAGAGCAAGGCTAAAATCAAGGAGGCGCAGCAAGAGTTTTCAATTGCTTTCACGTGTGCCCACATGAGCGTGCGCGCGTGTACATGTGGGCGTGTGCGTTTGTTATTCGCGCCAGTTCTTGCCAAGCCAGAGTGTGTGCGTGTGTGCGTCTGGGTGGGTCGGCGGGCGTGCGCATACATGCCTGCCACTCGACAGTCCAGGTGTGAAAGGGGTCGGGGTGGACTGAAGATCTTCTAAGCGTACCTGCTCTGGCGCAGCGTGGCCCCTATCCGAACCGCCCTAACCTTCCGCATAACTTTGAATACTTAAAGTTGCATTTCTTCACCAGCAGCTGCCTCTCTGCCTCTCTGTCTCTCTGTCTCTGTGCGTGTGTGTGTGTGTGTGTGTGTGTGTGTGTGTGTGTTTTTTTTTTGTGTCTCTGTGGGCGGCTTCTTGCAAAACTTTGCAAGATTCTCTCTTTCACCCATTGGCTGACTGTGATCGTCAAACCACGTGTCGTGGAATCTACATTGTTTTCGAGTCTAGCTCAGCCATGTGCAGGAGGAGCAGGAGTCGGATGCCAAGAACCTGACTCGCTGGCAAAGATGCCAAAGCTGGGCACGAAGCTTGCCTCAGAAATAGGAAACGGAGTGCCAAGGATGGCTGTCTCGTAGGATTGATCACCATCATCTGTAAACAGAGGTGCGCCCTGCTCAGTCCCGCACGCCCACAGGGCTCTTGAACAGAGAGCTAAGGGCGAGTTGTGAATTCGAACTCCTCGAATGCCTTCTTCGCGTTTGTAGTGTTGTCCAACTCGGTTTACCTGGGTGTGCAGCTGGAATACCACGCAGCTCGACCACATGAGGGCTTTCGATGGTGTTCACAGCGAAGGGATCCAAGTCGAGTACCCATGACTTGTGCCCGTTCTTTGTCAAATTATGGTGTCTGGTTGGCCTTGTTGTCTGAGAGCCTAGGCGCAAGTCCGGAATCCGGCTCATTACGCGTATGTGACATTCTTGACCATCCACGTGAGTTATGCCATTCTCTTCACGGCAGAGGTTTGCTTGCGCTTGGTCGCGGAAGGGGTGGTGAACTATTTGTGGGCAGCAGAGTGGCACTGGAATTGGTGCCTTGGGCTGGCATGCTCAACATAGGTGTGAAGCTGGTAGCGCTTATTATCGTGTTTCATCTTTCTCCGCTGAGGTTAGATGTGTTCGTCGTGTCATCGTCGTGGATTGAGTTGCTGATTGATTTGATGACGCCGGGCACCAGCAGCCGCGGAACCAACAGCAACTTCAGGCTTATGCGGCTGATCCGCGTTGGCCGGCTTTTCCGTGTGGTGCGGATTATGAAAGTGGTACGCTTGTTTCGCTCACTGCGTACCTTGGTCCAATCTCTGGTGGGAACCCTCAAATCGCTGGCATGGGCCATGGTATTGCTGTCGCTGATCATGTATATCTTTTCTATCCTCTTCACGGATGCTGCCCTGGACTTCATCATCGAGACAAAGGAGCAGGTGGAACCCATGACTTCTGAACAGGTGCAACACCTGAGTGAGGTGACTCTCTACTTCGGGTCCTTGTACCGCTCCTTCATAACAATGCCCCTCAGATGAGATGGCTTAGGGAAGCAACAACTGGGAGAAAGTTGTATTTCAATGTTGTGCCCGCTCTGCCGAGGTTTCCCTACAGGCCCTTTAGTACGAGGGGGGGGGGTGGTCCCCGTCCCAGGAAAAAGGACAAGAAGAAACATACACGACGTAGTTTTTTCTCCTTCTGTGCGCGTTTTCTTGTCGACCTCTGCTCCAAATTCCGTTCTTTGTTTTCGAGAATCCAGGGTCACTCAGTTATCCTACCATTTCTGTCGCTAACCCTCTCCCGCACCCTCCCCCTCTTTCTCAAAGGTACCAGAGGTTGGACATGCGGGAGCCATGTTACCATCAAAAGAACGAGGTGTAGCCTGTTCATCGCAGAACAGAACAAGGTTAAACTGAGCAAACCTCGCTGTCCGAGAAATTACAGCAGGGCCCGACGGGCCAGTGATCGCCACGTCCCTTGTCCTTGTGCATCTCATTTGTGCAGAGCGCACGTTTTGCTGGGCCCCAAGGTTCCGAGTAATTTCAGATGGACTTACCTGGAATTCTCCGGGCGATGCGCTCTACAAGCTTCCGGACATGGGTCCCTACTTATGGGTGCTTTGGCTGTGGAGCAGATTTTGGCAGAGAGAACAGTGTAGGAACAGTTTCGGATGAGCGAAGGCCCCGATTTTTTGGGCATGCGAGCCTTTATAAAATAGTTGCTGATGAAAAGCCTCACGCTCGATGAGGTCCAGCTCTTCCACCTGTATATTGCATTCTGCAGTTTTGCTGTGTTAAATGCCACTCAGCCGCAGTCATGTTGAGCCTGACGTTTCGGTGTTGGTTTGAGAAACGTTGTGTTGCGGTTCATGATGGGCGGCAGATTTCATGCGGGCACGTTCCCGACAACTTGCAGAGTGTTGGCAGGCCGCTATGTTTTAAAAATCAGGTTGATGTTTCTAATAACTTGTCCTTGCCTTCCTCCATCGCACGTGGGTGCCGTCATCAATATGTTGTGGCGCTTTGTCGCCTTGAGGGGACCTGGAGTCCTTTGCAGAGGGCCCGTTTCTCACGCCGCGGTAAGGACTCCCAGATGTCACATGGGCCTGCCTTTCTTACGGCCACGCTGTTTCTGGCGGGCGCGTTGTGGGATCCACTAGAATGGTTGGTCAACTCCTGCTCTGCTTACACACATGCAATACGTTCGCTGGGCACTTGGCCCCGCAGTTTTGGTGAGGATGAAAGTGCAATCTTCCCATTGGCAAGGGCAGCAGTGTCGTGAGTTTGTTGCTTCGTGTTCGAGGACCAGTTCAAAACTGGTGTCGCTTCCATGTCCAGCCAGAGGACGTCATCGGACCTCCGCCCTGATTGACAGGACTTCAGCACGCTGTTCGCAATGCTTGCCGTGCGTGGACACTTCGTTGATGTTGGCTGCCTTCGCGCCCTGATCATTTGGGTTGCTTGGGACAACTCGTCCTTTCTTCGTGGCATCTGGTGCCGTGAGCTTGGCATGCGGCAGCCTTGCCGGTACATACCCCGTCGCGAAGTGCTCGAACATAGACTGTTCAGGGGAAGCTGCGGGAGACGTAGCCTCGTGGGCTGCCATCCGATTCAGGTTGTTTGAGTGTCTGTCAGAGTTCTCGCTTGCAAGGCTGCTTGTTGACTGCATCCTCACAGCCCTCGCATTGATGAGTGGGCGAGCTTCCTCCAAGATTTCTTCTGCTTTCCTCACGGTGTCCTCTGAAAAAAACTTGGCTGGCCTCGCCTTGAACCTCCCAGTCGGTACGATCGCCGTGTGCTTCAGGGCATGTTTTTTTTTCTCACCGCAGAAAAACTGAACCGTGCCATGAGATGGGTCTTCTTGCTGCTGCCATAAACCAATGTGTTTCTTCATTCCTGCACGATGTTCGCAAGTTTCAACCACCGCCTCCTGGAGCCTGCCCTGCCCCCCCTGAGTGGGGGTGGCAGCTAAGGATTTGTTTCAAGGGCTTCGGTCCCCTAGTTAATATGAGTGGGTGGCGGCGTGTTCGAGAGAAGCAGCAGGTTTGATCGACTTGACTTCTTGCAGTTTCCTTTTTTCGGGCTCGCTTTCCTACTGCGGGGATTGCGCAGCTGCTGCTGGTTGGCATGCTCCTCTGACTGTGAGCAATGAGCCCGTACATAGTCCTGTCCATTCTGGGCAACTTTCCATCCCTATCAGCATGGATATGCATGGATTGTTGCCGTCCTTCCGGGCTAGTGGCTCGCCATCTTTTTCCTTTCGGGCCGCTTTTCTGCCGACGTGAGTTTACTTAGGTCTTCCCGTTGCCTTCGGCTTGTGGTTTGCCCGTTCTGCGGCATTTGCAAAAGAAAAGTTGTTCCTGCGAGGTAATGACTGGCGTGTTCTGCAACAGTGCTATCAAAGCGGCAGAGAGCGATCACGAAATGGTCGTCCAAACATTGGTTCAGACGCGGCAGGACCTTGGGTGGTTCAACGTGCCCAGTATGCTTTATGTGGAACGTTCAGTGCCGAGTTTCACGACCTAATTGATTAATCATGGCAAGTTCAAACATCGTCGTGCCGCAGAAGGAGCTGAGAGATTTGGTGTCCCACCTCTTCACGAAAATCGATTCGCGAGGAGCCGTCTTGCTTCAACATTTTGTGTGTGTGTGTGTTGTGTGTTTGCGTGTTTGTGTGTTTGTGTGTTTGCGTGTTTGGGTGTTTGTGTGTTTGTGTGTTTGTGTGTTTGTGTGTTTGTGTGTTTGTGTGTTTGTGTGTTTGTGTGTTTGTGTGTTTGTGTGTTTGTGTGTTTGTGTGTTTGTGTTTTTGTGTGTTTGTGTGTTTGTGTGTGTGTGTGTGTGTGTGTGTGTGTGCGTGTGTGTGAGAGTGCATGTAGGGACCACGGCGGAAAGCTCACTGACTGGAAGGCGAAGGGCACATCACTTACACGGAGTTTGAGCAGTTCTTCGAAGATGAGGCAGTGAAGGCATTCTTCGAGTCATTGCAGATACTCGCGGCATTAAGTTTGCGCATGTTAAGCTGCGTTCGATGGTGAGCTTCAGCATTAGTTGCACGGCGACGCGTGTGTTTGTCTGATGGACCATATTCGGTGATCAGCGTCAGACATTCAGGATTGGAGCTGTGGATGCTTGGACGCTCTTTGTTTCTCTCGACATGGACGGGGATCATACGGTCAGCGTGGAGGACAGACCTGCTAGGCCGAGGCTTCACTTCAGACCTGAACAGAATCTGGGCAGACGGAAGCTCGAGCCGAGCGTGTCGCTTGTGCCTGTGACCACGTGGTTTGGGTCACTTGTGAACACGTCCTCATGGGTCACTTCCGAAGGAGTTCACGGAGCGGTGCATGCAGCTCCACGGTCCTGCCCGATCGGCCGACCTGCTGCCCGCCCCAAGTACATCCGTACAATTTAGCGCAGGATGTGCTGGCAGGAATGCCAATGCGGAGCGATGGGAGGGCTGGGGCCGTGACTGTCTGCAGCCGAGGTTTGCCCTGCGGCAAACAACAGCCACCTCGTCCTGCAAGAGAGGGTAAGATTGCTTCTGTTTTGACTCCTTCACCCCGTCATGTCATGTGTCGGGCCAGCAGCGACTTCATGATAGGAAGCTGATCTGAAGTTATCTGTCGTCTGTGACCAGCTCAGCCAGCAAGTGCAACAATTGTCTGTGACCAGGTCAAGCTCAGCCAGCAAGTGCAGCAGCTGCAAGAAGCGCAGAAGCAGAACAGTCGGATTGCATCCTGCTTGCACTCTTTTGTTTTTGAGAGGTCTCTTGCGTGAAGGCATGATTCAATGATGCCGGTACGGTTTGGTGCGTGGTAGCTCTCCAGGCATTACGAACACCCAGCAAGTCTGAGGCGACAGAGAAGGATTCTGCGCCGTTCAGGGTTTGATGTTTGATGTTGGCTTGGGAAGCACCAGTCGCATCATCATGCATCTGTTTTCCACAAGCTCCAGAGGCCAGAATTAGCATGGCATCTTTATTAGTGGTGTGTAGGCGGTTTCGAGGCCTGGTTAGCCTACGAGTCGAACGCGATGTGTAATCGCTAACATGCCGCAAGCTAGGGTTGCTGATGAGTCCGTCGCTTAATGAGAGAAAAAGGCCAGATGGAAGGCCCCAAAGATCTCCAAAGGAGAATCTGACAGCTAGCTTCCACAATCACATTTTCGCTGCACACCAAAGCCGTGCGATGCCACGGAAGAGCTATAAATGACTTTGGCAAAAATCTCCATGTCCTGCACTGCTGTTGTATGCATATCAGGGCTTTCGCGAGCTTGAAGGTGTGGTGGCGAAAGTCCGCGAGAACGTCGGAACAAGCACAAAGTGTTTGTCGAGAGCAGGTTTTGTTGTGTTGTCAAATGCGCTTGCCGCATTCCGCAGGCGTATTGGTCATTCGGGAGGTCCTTTTATTGTTGTTCATTCGAGACAGACCCGCGATTGTGTATAGCGAAAGCAGGGCTAGAGTTCGCCAGAAGTTCTTGTTGAGATTGAACCCTTCCAAATGACACTTTCGCTGTCCACGCTATCCTTGTGCCATTTGGCCACGAAAGCGCAAATTGCGGTCTGCTGCCGGATGCGAGAGTTGTTGATCTCATTACCATCCGGGCAACTGCTGCACAGGTTGGCCAACAGGCGAGCTTGAGCAATGCGATGAGACAAAAGTGTAGCCACATCTATGGACACACTGGCAAAGGCAGCCGAACATTGCCACGGCAAAGAACAACTGCTACAACAAACGTCCATGTCAGGTAGTTTGCAATGTTGTTGCGTGGAAGTGTTTTTGTGGAACGCTATGCTGCATTGCTCTGTCTCCATGCTTTCACAACTGCTTTCGCTCGCTCCCCTCTCTCTCTTCTCTCTCTCCCTCCCTCTCAGTCTCTCTGCGTCTTTACATTTCTGTTTGGTGAAAGGTATCAAGGCTTTCTTTCAGCAAAAGGTGCGGTCGATTCTTGAGGGCCGCGCCCGCCACGTGTCCGCCTGGGTGCCATTCAAGCGGTGATGGAAGTAGGAACTTTGAGCTGGCTGCACTGAGTGGCCATGGAAGAAGCGGCGCCCAAGGTCCTTGCACATGTGGAGGAGGTCAGGGCTCCACAATGAAAGACAGCACAATGTTGCAGGCACAAGGTTCCCTGTAAATTTCCCTGCTTCAGGTGCTTCAGGGCCACCAAGAACAGCTTCTTGCGCACATGGATTCCTGGCTCCAATCTTTGGAGGTCCGTTTGGAACAGGGCACGGCCCAGGCCGAGCGCAGAGCTGGAGACACTTGAGTCAACAACATGCCTGAAGCTTTGAGGATGCTGCCCTGAACAAGGTGCCTCGATCGATGCCAACTTACAACGATTTGCCAGTGGGACACCTCTACTCAGAAGGCAGCCAGGGGAAGCGACGCCCGCCAGCTCGCCTGAGCAAGGCTCCGAGCATGAATAGCTACGATCGGGCGGCTTTGGCGGCATGTGGTGGTTGCATTTCTTCGATTGTTGCGGGTGCTGCACGACGCTGCTACTGGCACTGGGGAAGAGCCACGCGAGGTGTGTTGAAGCACTAAGGCGCGTCAGGCTCACACTCGCGTGGTTGAAGAGTCTGAGAAGATTCAGATACAGCTTCGTGAGTCCAGGAGTAAGACTCTACACGTGTGTGGCTTGGTCTTGGCAGCATCGGGTGTTGACGTGCAGGTTTGTCCACATTTTCTGGGTGCACGTTCAGTATTGTTCAGTGGGTTCTTCGTGTTTGAGAAGCGAGTTTGAGGCAAGTCTGTGGCTGAAGTGACTGATGCTGTTGATGGACATGCTGCCGCACCTGCTGCTGCTGCTGGTGCTGCTGCTGCTGCTGACTTGCTCCTTTGCCCTAGAGGTCAACGCTACGCCCAGTGGATAGTGGATTCCCAGAGTTGCAACCTATTCTTCGGATTTGCAGTGGTGACGAATTCGCTGCTTCTGGGAATCTTGTCATCAAGTCGGTTTCCTTTGACAGCTCGCATCAGCTCGCAGCATGTATGGTCGGTGGTGTTGAACATGATTGTCAGAAGTTGCTAGATCTGAGAGCTGGCCCGACAGTGCGCTTGCAGCCCATAGGTGCGCAGGGGGAATCCTGGATGTTCGGTATCCAAGGCTTTCACTTGGAATGGCAAGCTGTTACCAGAGATTTCTCCTCGGGGGTCTCTGTCTTCACGACTCTGCATACCATGTACTCGCTGCTGTTCACTGTGGAAGTTTGCCTGCGCCTGACGGCTGATGGGTTCTGGAAGTGGCTTAGCCTTTCCTAGTCATGGCTTGTTTGCATAGGGCCAGTTTCTGTCGAACATGCTGTAACATGTCTGATGAATATGCTCTGCCTGGGTTTGAGTTCCACATGTGCCGTGCTTGAGGTATGTTTGGGAGTCTTCAGACTGGGCTTGGAATTGGCTAGACATCTTTGTGGCCGCTTGGCCGTTCGCACTCTTTGCGGTGCATCTCTCAAATGGGCAGGGTAAACTTGTTTTAAAGTGAGGTGCCGAAATGGCCGCCCATGTTGCATGTGGTGCATTTCCTGTTCAGGTATTGTCCTCGTGGGTTGAGCTGGCATCAGAGCTGTTCCATCACGGACAAAGTGCCCTTGCTGCAAAGAGCGGCGGCGGGATGCAGCGAGCAATGCCAGCTATGCTGTAGCCCTACTTAGTCCACACAGAGAGTCAGCATCACACAGCACTTACACTGTGCTGCACATGCTGGAAAGAGCCCAGTTATGCATTGAACGCTGCTTGGTGCATGGCAGCCACCGGTATGTTTGAGGCAGCACGTCCACGAACAGCAACTGGGCTCGGTCAGGGTGTTGTGACTGCTGGCAGCTTGAGAACTCTCTGCTCGTGAAGCTCGCTGAGTGCTGAGGCAACTTGCGGATCCTCAGGCTCTTGCGAATCGGCAAGCTGGTACGCGTGATTTGGTGCACAAGTGGTCACAGGAGTTTTTTTTTTGCATCATGCGATCAGACGATGTCAGTTTGCAGCTGGATCTTTCCGGATGCAAGGTCGTGCGGGTAGTCCGCGTGGTGAAGTTCTTCAGGAGTCTACGGACTCTGGTCCAATCTTTGCTGGGTACGATGAAAGCCCTGTTCTGGGCCATGCTTCTCTTAGCTCTGATTATATACATCTTCTCCATCCTCTTCACGGACGCGGTGATAGACCACGTGCGTGACTTGCAAGTCGAGAAGCTGAACAACACCGAGTTGGAGGAATCTTTTGGAACACTCTACGACTCATATCTGACCCTCTTCCGATCAATCTCCAACGGGGTCACCTGGGGTGAGCCAGCGGATGCCCTTGAGAGCATTCCTGAAGGACAGCTTGTGGGTCAGTCATGGGTTGAGAAGATTCGGCCCTTCTGCCATGAATGGGCGACGGCTGGAGGAACTAGTCAGTGCGTGATGAGTGAGCGTCATTGCAAAGCCGGAATGCTCCATGTCCTCCATGTCCAAACAGAGCTCGTCATTTTAGGGTCCCAGAACCAACAAGCAAGGCAGAGACAGAAAACACTGGCAAGTGGACAGGGCTTCCAGTGTGGTCGCAGCAAAGCGATCCGCTCCGTCTCCGAGTCCGCTATTTGACAGTGTGTGGATACGTCAGAGCATACTAAAAGGATGAGGGGACAACATATCATGCTGAGCACCCATCTTGTAGCACACTTCGTGCCTGACACCACGACAGTTTACGTGTGCATACTGTCTTCGCATCACGGCCGCCGAGCTTAGGTTAGCGCAAGGTCGATGTTCCAGCACAGCTTCCGATTATTGGCTAGATTTCGGGCTGATACATCCAATCAAAGAGCAACTGAGTACCCACAAAAGGGAGTTGGAGTGATGGTCTATTTCTTAACGCAATGTTGTCCCCATGATTCGCTGGTTTTTTCTTTTCTACGACACCCATTGGTGAAGTCTTCTTGTGGTCTACGGTGTGTGTCTGCGTTTAGGTGGCTGTTTGCGATGGTTAGGCATTTGGACGGCTGAGACAGACAAAGGGAAGAACAGGGCACTGCCGCCAATCGTGCTGCGGAGGACACTCGAACGAGAAGCCATGGTAGCCAGCAGCTTCAGCACAAGGGCGGCCAAGAAAAGTACAAACATCGGCAACAGCAATGACAGCACATGTTGAAGGAAAGTTTCGGACTGATGCGCATCGCAGTGCGACTGAGTGAGTGAGTGAGTGAGTGAGTGAGTGAGAGTGTGTGTGTGTGTGTGTGTGTGTGTGTGTGTGTGTGTGTGTCTTTGGGTGGGTGGATGGGTAGGTGGGTGGGGTGGGTGGGTAAGTGCATCTCTTGCTCGTGCGTATGCACGTATGGAAGGAACGATTTGGGTCCAGCTCTTCCAGTTCTACATAGCCTTCTGCAGTCACTGCCTGGGCGAGTGGGAGATGTGTGCGCTTGAGGGCCCATTGCTTTGAACTGGGCAGGAGTTGCGCAACTAAGGCTTCGCTGTCTTGAATGCATCTTGGCAGCAGAGCGATATGGAATGTGGCGGCTTGCTTCGCCATCGAGTGACCCACACATAACTTCAAGGATCTCTTGCTGGCAACACACGTATGTGTCCGGCATTTTTATGAAAGCGCAACGCAGGTAATGACTGGCGTGTTCTGCAACAGTGCTATCAAAGCGGCAGAACGCGATCATGAAATGTTGGCTTCGTGGCCGCATCCGAGAAGTCGACGCAGTGCGTTGCAAAGTGATTGTAGAACGTGGGCGTAGAGTCGCAGAGTATGCGTGCAGAAGCGTGGGTCGAGCGACGGCTTCCAACTTCCAAGACTTTGCTCAAGGTCATGTCTTTGGTCCAGAGCCGGCGTGAGCTGAAGGACCAAGTGGCCACTCTGTTCCACAGGATCGACCAACGAGGGTTGGGCCAGGCCGCATCGGACTGCTGGAAGTTCAGCTGTGATGTGTGGAACAAAAGAAGAACAAGACGGAACAATCACTATGCATGGTTAGACCTACATGTGACATTATGCCATCATATGGTCATAGCATGTTAAATGGTTGCACCATATTTTTTCGGACGAAAGTAAAACACAAGTGCAGGTGACCATCGAAGACTTCGAGAGGCACTTTGACGACGATGCGGTCATTGCCTTCTTCGAGTCCCTGGAGATCGGTGCCATGGACGCCTGGACGTTGTTCTCAAGCTCCGCGGCACCTGAAAACCCCGCTTGTTTAGGGCCTTGAGGGCCTTGAGGGCCTTGAGGGCCTTGAGGGCCTTGAGGGCCTTGAGGGCCTTGAGGGCCTTGAGGGCCTTGAGGGCCTTGAGGGCCTTGAGGGCCTTGAGGGCAGGGTTTAGGGCTCCTGAAGGATGTTCACGTCTTTGTGGCATCCCTTTTGTTGGGGCTCTTGATGCCAGAAGGGCTGTTAATGACGACTCGGAGTGATATTTTTACCGATATTGAAATTGTAAGCGTTTTGTGTTTCAATGGCCCGTGTTCATTGTGGATTTTTTGGGTTGCCATTTTTAATTGTTTGGGTGGGCGGGGGGTTGTGATTGAACCACCTTCTTCTCTTAGGGTGGCCGATGTACCAAGGAAAAATCTTGAAAAACACAAAACTGCAAGCCCGAGCAAGAGCACCAAAGAACGAAAGAAACAAATACAGAAAGGTCCGCATACTCAAAGGCAGCTCTGGGCTAGAGGTCTCGACATCTGCGTGGCCGCTGCGTGCAGAGAGCCGAGCAATTCAAGACCCCTTGAAAGACATTGAAAGATAAGAAATAGTCAAAAACAAAAAACCAAAGACTTCGGAATTCAGTCGAAACAAAAGGTCATGGGCGGCCGAGCAACCTCACCTGATCTTGCTTGAGGTCTTCGGGTCCTTCGGGTGGGGTTTCTAGGTGGTTCCATAAACATCGTCTTCCTGGTTGTATCTTGTGTGGACTGCAATCGGCACATGCTTTCACCGGAGATCTTTCTGCTTGGAACAATCGGGAACAATCGGGAGAAAGAGTGCACCCACCTTCGACCGGGGACCTTTTTGTTTGGGGCCTTCATTTTTTTTGCCTTTTCTTTTTGGGCCCTATTTTCTGGTAAAAAAAAACAGGAAAACCAGAGAAAACCACTATTTTCCTCTTTAACCTTACGCCCTACACCCTACACCCTACACCCTAAACCCTGCCATGTGGACATGCTGTTCAGCTATGCGGGCGGCAAAAGAATCCCTAAACCTTGAACCCTAAACCCTCAACCCTAAACCCCCCAAGCCCTACCCCTATTCCTAAACTCAAGGCCTGGCCGCCCCCCTCTCGACCTCAATGGCGCAAGCCGACCGAGGTCGTTCGCCTGCTTCCCACAGCTCGGAGGTCGGTAGCACCCACGCTGGGCCCGGTACCTGAAAAGCTTGTGTGGCTTTGCCGCCTCAGACGGCGTGGGGTGGAGAAAAGTGGAGGACCGCGCTAAGGGCTACCCGGCTGCGAACCCGGCTGGAGGGCGACGGGGGAGGCAATGGTGCCGAGGACGAGCTGGAGGTGGATGCACTCACGGTGTACACCCAGACGTCAGGAGGAGGAGCTCGAGTTGGGGGATCTGAGCAGGCGAGCCGTAAAGGGGCCGCACCAGCTGGGGGTCCGCCCAAGGGCTTGCGGGCAGCCAAAGCTGGGGGCCACGACCCGATGTGGGTAGCTTATCCTGTGCCGCCGCCTGTGGGGCAGCACAAGAAGGCCTGGCATGAGGACTTGCTGCACCGAATCGTCTGCAGGCGGTGCCGCAACATCACTAGAAAGGCGGAGGATTTGGCCCAGCGGGATTGCGTGGTGGGCTCCATGCCGAGTACGACACACAAGTTGCTGAAGCGATTCCGGCTTCGTCTCGAGGACACCGACGTGCCCATCATTGTCAAGGAGGCGACCCAAAACACGGTGGCGATCCTCGAGCAGAGCTTCAAGCGAGACGGCGAGGTCGGGAGCCATAGCATTGAGGCTGTGGCGTGGCCGGGCGAGGAGTGGAGCGTGAAGTTCCTGTGCAGTGGCTGCAGTTTGATTTCCGAGACCGAGGGCACCATACGAGGCGGCTGCGACAGACCGGGGGCGACGTCGCCCTCCCGTGTTGTCACCGAGTTGCGTGGCATTGCGGGCGAGGAGGGGGGGCGCGGGTCATTGCGGCCAAGTACATCCTTGAGCGCCTGGGTTACCCGATCGAGGCCAAGAGCGCCTATTTTACTTTCTCTCGAGCGCTTGCAAAGGAGCGCTTGCAGGAATCAAAGATCCGGGCCTCCAGATGTGCCTGCCTTCCGGGCGCATTCGCGCGAAAAGCTCTCTTGGCTCAGAAGGCAGTGGTTCCAAAGGCAAGCTGGGGCTGGCTGTTCCGCAGGCCTTCTATCCCTTTGCTCAAGCTCCTCTGGGGTCACGATTCTGACCTCTGTTTTTGGAGCCGGGATCCAGCTCTTTTCTGCCTTCTGGCGCTGCTGGGCGTGGGCCTCTTCTTGGGTGGCAGTCTGGTTTGACGACGCGGTTGCGAAGCTGGCAGTCCGGGCTGGGCTTCTGGTTAGGCCCTGGGTCTGGGAAGGTCCTTCGGTCTCTGCCTTTGCAACTTTTGCGATATTGTCAGGTGGTCGGCTGGGACGAAAGCATCCTCCGAGCAGAGCAAAAAGAAACAAAATCTGAGATTCGCCCCTCGAGGGCCCATTCTGGGCGACGCGCCTGCGCCGCCGTGGAAGGACGACGTGGTTCATGGGCTGCCGGTAGCAAATGAACAGGGCACGCAATCTGAGATTGAAGCTCAATCCATCTCGGCGCTTGGTCGGTGCTGTTGTCTTGATGTGGGCAGTGCGTTTTCCTTTTGTTGGAATGGGCTGGGATCTTGGGCAAGCTTGTTTGTTGACGAGGTGGCCTGTCAGGCCCAGTCCAGTCGCGTTGCGTTGTCGGCGTGTTGCTGGACGCAGGTCTAGACGTGCGAGATGCTGGCGTGCTGCCAAAATTCCTTGTTTTTGCTAAGAATCTTCCGAAAATCATCCTTGGGTGTGGTCCTCCGTCATTTGCCTGTCTGCTCCACCATCCTAAAGCATCCTCTTTTCCTCGATATATCCTCTGGCGTTATCGTCAGAATCGTCAGTGCATTTCCATTTCTCCTCTCCGCCATCGTCCTAAAATCATCCTTGTTGTTTTTTGGCCTCGAATCATCCTCGGGCGTGTCCTGCCCGTTTTTTTGTTGTATCCGCTTCACCGTTCGCAAACCATCCTATGTTAAATGTTAGGAGGATTCTAGGATGATGTGGAGGATAGATTGGAGGATGACTTTAGGAAGATTGGGAGGCCGGAATTTTGACATAAGATGATTTTAGGATGAGGTAGAGGCGGATAAATTTGCGGATGATGTCAGGAAGAGTGGAAAGCCGGAATTTTCACAGCGGATAATTTTAGGGTGAGGTGGAGGCTAATTTGGAGGATGATTTTTAGAAAGATTGGGAAGCCGGAATGTGGAGGGAGGATGATTTGAGGAAGAACCCGAAGGATGATTTTAGGAAGATTTTTTTGCGAAAAAGAAATTTTGCCGAAGCCCAATGTTTGGCTCCAAAAAAACTCATAACGCAAGATCTTAAATGATGCATGTAAACAGCTGAATGGGTGACGGAACACATCTTTCCGGGTCAAACTCGTACTCCATGCAAGCGTCTATCGTGTGTAATCCGATACAGAACAACAACCAGACCCAATCCCACAACAATTGAACGGAAAGGGGGCCGCACCATTCTGCCATTGCCCCACCCTCTGCCCGGACAGCAGGTTTTCCGAGCCCAAGCCTTCCAACCTAGTTCCAATCTTCTGCTATTATTTAAATTTCTTGCGTCGGCCTGAGTCCGAGATCAAAATTCCCTCGAAAAAGAACCAAATACTGATGCCGGATAAATTGAATGGAAGATTGACGTCCGATCTTGCTTCCGATTATTATCACGAATCCATTATTACCAAAGACGGATATCTCTTTGAAGCATAAAGGAAACGCATGATTTCAGGATTTGGTAAGTCATTGCATAGGATTTCATCCGTCGTGCCACAAGACGATGAAAGAATATATTCCCCTTCCAGATCGAGGCCGCCAACAATCTCGTGTCCAAGAGGCTCAAGTCCCATTGCTTGCTTGATGCCTCATAATCATGATGATCCCTTCATATCATTTTGTTTGCGCCGTCGCCATAGCCAAAACGTTACGCTCGCATGTTTTTTGATGGCCGAGGCGCTTCGCAGGGCTGGCTTTCCTTCTCGATCGTATCCCTTTTGCTACCAGGTTTAGGGTCGGTGAACCTGGACTCAGGGCCTCGCTGGTGCAAGCCAGACTTCATAACAAAGAAAGGCAGCAAGTGCTGGGAAGCCTTGGTCCATGCCGGAGACATAAGCTGACCAAACTTAGAAAAAGTGACGCGCTGACGTGAGCTGAAGCTGGTTCCGCAGCGTTTAGTCGCTGATCAGGACTACCGTTTACGGCCGCGTCCTTGATTGCCAGGTTGAGGTTGGGCGAGAATAGTCCCTGCAGTTTGGTTTGGAATGGCCTGTGCCCAGCTTCATGATTCGTTAAAGAAGTTGCGGCAGCATCGCCTTGACTGTTGGAGAACGCGTGTCATCACAAATCGATCCCACGTTTATGGGTCGTTGGTTGAAGAGTCGCAAAAACACGGTTGGCGTTGAAGTCGCTCAAGATGGATGCGCTGTTGCTTCTCATGAGTTGGCTGTTGCTGCCTTCCGGGATTTTGGGAGGATTTCTGGTCGTCTGTTCGCAGAGAAGGGTCGTCGAGTGGTGAGATCACAGATTCCCTGCTGCAAGACACGGCCAGTTGTGATGACTGTCCTCTCGGAGGCCCCTCATGTCTCGAACGCGCCAAGAAATCCGTCAGTTTAAATGCCTTCATTGAAAAGGCTGATGCCACGGAGAGCCCAAATGCTGTCATTCAGGCTCTTGCTGCTAGCTTAGGAGTCCCTGAATCCTTTTAGGCTACCTCAAGCCGGGATGGAGTGGCCTGTGAAATCATTCCCTGTGCTGATCAGGGTGCTTTTGTTTCCTTTATGGGTTAAAAAATTGAGTTAACGTGCATTGGGTACGTGCCGACAAAAATGAGTCCCTTAGGCGAGTGCTCGGCGTGAAGTGGGTGCGAGCTCTCTCCATAGAAGTGGAGGGGGGTCGCGCGCGTCAGCTTGGCGACACTCAGCCATGGCCACTCCGCATCCGGCCCGGCCTGTCCCTGAGCCTGTCCCAAGCCTGCCCCTCACCCTGCCCAGCCGCCCGCAACTGGTTGCGCTCAAACAGAACTGCAGCTCAGCGGCAGAGCGTGCTTTGGTCCCCAACTTTCACAAGCGTGCCCGGCCCACCAATTTGCGCTTTTTAAATAGTGTCGCGGGCTTTGCAATGCGTGTGCTCCTTTCGGGCCGCAGCGCGCAGGTACGGTGTCACAATTGTCCTCGTCCCACTGGGTGCTGATCAAGCTCCAAGTCGGTTTGGGCCTGTTACAAAGGACCCCTTGGTCATACTTTTTGCTGCTGAGCATCTTCAGCCGGCTTAAGTTTTTCACACCTCAACCCAAAACTAAGCTTAAACCCAAAAAACCCGAGCGAGACCTGCAGCGCTGTTCGTCTGCTTGGCGGGTGGCAAAAAAACTCCCAAAACCCTAAAACCTCAGCAAGCTATCAAGTCGTCTCGTCGCCAACCCTGCGAAGTGGATTCGCCCCAGCTGTGCAGGAGGGAAAATAAGCCGCAAGCCTAAACCCTGAACTATAGCCTAAACCTTAAACCCTCAACTGTGTTCGTTCCAATCGAAATTCGAAAGCCCTCTATCTATTTGGAAAAAGGAAACTTTTTCCTTTAGATTTCGATAAGATCACTTTTGGTTTTCAAAAAACTGTTTCTCTGTCAAACCTCTGCTTCCTCCATATTTAGACCTCAATGGAAGCATTTGTTTCCTTATGTTTCCTTTTGAGCTCGAGAAGCCCAGCCTAGCGTGAAGTCTAAGCTTGGTTGCTCTCGTCATCCGCAGAAATTTGTTGGTGGTGCAGGTCCTCTTTCAACCCCAGCGGTTCCCTTGACGCATCAGAAATGCAAAACCAAGCCGAAATCAGCCGACACGTGAGTTGAAAACGCCAAGCTCTCACCACCCTCGCCCTCGCGGTTCGCCCAGCTATGCAGGAAGGAGAAACAATGCCAAGGTCGAACAAATAGATCAAGTTTGTATTAACAGCCCTTCTGATTCAAATGTTGCGTGGTCTCGAATGGCTAGAAGCTCTCCATGGTTCCATGGGTTGCTAAATGTGATGGTGCGTTTCCGGAGCAGTACGGGGTAACAGAGTTTGTGCATGTGCAGTTCCATTGCATCGTGTATCGTGGAGTAGCACTTTTCGCAGTGTGAGGTTTGGACATGGACGGCGACCACACCATCAGCGTAGAGGATGCTGATAGGATGCAACACATGCCTTTCGAAATGCAGGCAACGTCAAACAAACAGCTCCAGGAGTTCACCGAGCGCTGTGTGAAACTCCACGGCCCCGCGCGTTCAGCGGACTTGTATGCGCTGCGACACATCACGGTGTTCCCCCCAGTTTGTGTTGTGCTTTTGCAGACCAGATGCTGCACGCCGGGCAAGTGCTTGCAAACAACATAATTCGCCGGTGATGCGGCCAAGCAATTCCAACACTAAATGTAGTTAGACGATGGTTTGAACAGACTCTGCCCTGAACAAGAACACGTGACAGAAGGGTCACTTGAAGATTGGTTTAGATCCAATGTTCAACGAGGACAAACACTCCGAGCAGCTATATCAAATCGAGGACTTTCAGCAGCGTGCCTAGGCGTGAGAGAGATGTACGGTGTATGCGAAACACGCAAGCTTCTGCGATAAGGCTAAGGCTCAGGCTCAGGCTCAGGCGAAGGCTAAGGCTAATGCTAAGGCGAAGGCGAAGGCGAAGGCTAAGGCTAAGGCTAAGGCTAAGGCTAAGGCTACATTCGTGCATTCGTCGCAGTTCATGTCGCATGAGGCAACAAGGTCCCAAGTTGCATTTGAAGCTCTTCCGTACTGTTTTCATCTCTTACAGCTGTTGCGTCTCACAGGTTGCCACAAGCGGTTGGACCAACTGTCGAGGGCGATGTTAGTTCAGCACGACGAGGACGTCCACGAAAACAACGAAGAGGTGCCACGGCTTTTGAGGGTGGGCCACAGAAGTCGGAGCTGCTCAGTTGTTCTTTTGACTAACCTGGTTACCAGTCTCCAACTTCAACAACTTGTTTGAGCGCATAGAGGTCCATGGCCGTAGAGATCTCGGGAAGAGGATTTCCGGAATGTGTCTCCGAGGTTGTGAAGCAGAACTGGCTCTAGAGCCGCACATTCAGGGTCCTCTCTGTTCGTCATGCGGACGTGACTCTTAAGAACCGTCAGTTTGGTTTCACCCAGTAGCCGCACATTTGTAGACCGTAGACGCTGAATTCGTTGGAGCGTTGCTGGGAGCGCCTGTCGGGCTGCTGCAAACGCAGTGAGCACGGACCTATCAAGCCCTCTTTATTCTAGGCAGAGCCTGTTTCTTCGTCCAAGATGGGTGATGCATTGAAACGAAGCTGCTGCCATGAGTGGGTCTGAGCTTTGTATTCGTATCCGTCGCCAATGCCGAAATGCCAGCTAAGCTGCGCCGGCTGCGGCTCCAGTCGCTCGGAGGAGAGCCGAGAGGAACAAAGACAGATTCGGGCTTAGGTAGCAGTTCCGAGCCCCTTTCTTTGTTTGCACATGCAGTCCGAAAGAATCCCAATGCGCATTGAAACCCGAAATCTTGAGACGCCTGCGCCAAGGCCTTTCGCTTGCACCTTCGCCTAAGAGGCCAGGGATGCGAGATGGAATGTGTATCCTGCTTGTCTGCATGTCGAAAGTTTGGGAGCCCAGCTTGGAAACCATGGGCCGATTGTCGAATTTGTTGCCGCGTTGCCAGATTCGGCGCCCTATGTCCAGCCTGCCGTGACCCGAGACCCATTCAGATCAGTATGTGCTCATCAGTGGCCCTTGCATGGGGAGGGCTGGAAGGCCTTGAGGCAAGCTGGACGGTAGAAGAGTGTCAGGAGCAGTAGCAGGATCCACAAAGTGCTCAAGGCATTGCAGAGCTGTTTTCTCTCCAACGTCTGCCCGTGAGAAAGTATCACGTAGAGTCAGGGGTGGGTAGTTGCCTCCCAACGCCGGGCTGGGGCCATGGAGCCGACTGAAGTGGAGCGCACGAACATACTTGTAGCAGAGGCGTTAGAATTCCACCGACAGGAGATGACGGCCTTGCTTAGCGACTGGCTCTCCAAACTAGAGCTCTCCATGACATTCCCATTGCCAAGCGGTGCCCGGTCTCCCCGTGCCCCCTCCCGATCGAGGTTTGCGGCCAAGCCACTCAAAACGTCGAATAGGGTATTTGGCCTTGATGAGGAGACTTTCTCGGACCCTGACACTCACTCAATGCAAGGGTCGGAAAGGAAAGAAGCGAACAACAACACTGAAGGTGGTTTCAAGTTAACGCCCGGTGAGTCGTTGGAAGATCTGGACACGCCAGGACTAGAACGACTGGGCAGCACCCTCAGCTATGAAGAGGCCAAGCGCACTGACGTTGCGATCTCGCGCGCATGGCTTATGGGCCTCGGATCAGGGGGTCTCAGCCCCCCACAAATAACGCTCGGCTGGTGGAACTCATTCCACGAGCGAGTGGCAAAACTGATGGACTCACAATGGGCCAATGCATTTTGGACGATTGCAATCCTCACAAATTCAGTTTACCTTGGCTTCCACCTGCAGTGGACCTCACAGAACAAGGGGGCAGTGCCACACGAAGCCTGGGACACGGTGCATCTTGCATACGCCATTTTGTTTACCGCAGAGGTGGTCTTGCGAGTCATTGCGGTCGGCTTCGTGACGTACCTGTGTGGAAAGGACTGGAAGTGGAGCTGGCTGGACTTGTTTGTTGTGGTCACCTCATGGGCTGAAATCACAGCGGACAGATTGGCCTCCAACGGTGCCGAGATGCGTGGGACCAACACAAACTTGCGAATTATCAGGGTGCTGCGTTTGGGCCGCCTCGTGCGCGTCGTGCGCGTCGTCCGTGTTGTGCGGCTTTTCCGTGCCTTGCGAACGCTGGTGGCCTCTCTCATGGGGACGCTCAAGTCACTGTTCTGGTCCTTTTTGCTCCTGTTCCTGGTGATCTACATCTTCGGCATATTGTTTACAGACGTTGCAGTGGAGTATGCTTTCGAGCACAACCCACCCGATGATGACGTAATGCAGGTGCCCGAAAGCACACCACTTCCCGACTCTGCCTGCAACCGTTGCATTAAGTTGTTGTTCTCTGTCACTACAGAGCAGTCACTAGTGTCACTAGCTTTTCCTTGCAAGTGCATTTATTGGCCTCCTGCCACACTTGGAGGTTTACTTTGGCAACCTGTATCTCTCGATGAACACGTTGCTTGTCGCATGCTGAAGTGTTTTTTTGTTGCTGCCTGCTCCACCTAGACCCCTCGGTTTCGGCACTCGAAACTCAGGCTTTTCCGGGCCATCGCAAATGGTATTAGCTGGTCGACGGCTGCCGATTCCTTTCGTCCAGCAGGCACTTGCAAGGGGATGCGTGCTTCGACCGTTTTTGCTGACAATTCCGTCAAAAATTATGTCACGGCATGTCCAAGTAACTAGGAAAGTAGTGACAATGCATTGACAGCGTCGTGGACTCGGAAAATTTTGGAATAATCTTGATTGCAACTTTGCCTGTGTTATGTGGAAGTGGGGAAGTGGTTTTGACAACGGCAGGTTTTGTCTGGGTCCAGTTCTTTCACGCGTACGTGGCCTTCTGCCTGCTCGCACTGCTCAATGCGCCTTGGTAGCACCCATGTGAGCCCTGTAATGGAGGTGTTGGAGTCTTGTCATGATGCATCGAATCATTCTTCTGAAGTCGAAACACGCCAGAAGCACTCCGTAAGCCCACTTCATGCTTCAGAGAATGCCGCCCAAGACATTCCTGGGAGGAACAGGTAAGCTCTGGGAATAAAATTCGCTAGCTTTTTGCCTGAGCCTGCCCCGACACTTCGGTGCGAGTGGGGCAACGTTTGTCTTTTCTTTAGCGTGGATTTTTGTCGTGCTTGTGGGCATTGTGGCTTGTCATCCTTGTACTTTAGGGCCAAGGTAGTGCGAGAGTCTGGCAGTCTTACTGAGTTTTCGCAGGTCTTCTCGTTGGCCTCGGCTTGTGCTTTGCCTGTTTTGGGGTATTCGCGCCACAGTAGGTTTTGTGAACCTACTAATCCCCACTAACTCTTCCACGGCGAGTGGAACGTTGAGTCAGCAGCACGCTGGTGCTGCACAAGCTGGTGGCTGCCCCCGCCCATGCAGCCGCATGTGGTTGAGTGGGTGCCATCGTCAAAATTTTCTTCCTGCGAGGTAATGACTGGCGTTTTCTGCAACAGCGCTATCAAAGCCGCAGAGAACGACCACGATCTGGCAGTGCAGTCACTGGTGCAGACACGCAAGGAAATGCAAGAGCAGGTGGCGAACCTGTTCCGCACCATCGACGAGCGTGGCCTGGGCCAGGTGACAATCTCGGAGTTCGAGCGCAACTTTGACAAAGATGCCGTCAAGGTGCCGCCAAAAAATCCCTGCTGAAGGGGATGTAAGGTGTTCGGCAGGCATCAGGACAGTTTATCTGGAATCGGGCTTTGTTCGCCCGGCTTCAAGCGGGCAGTAAAGAAGGCTTAGACGCTTTAGTCGCAGCACTCGGCAGCAAGCCATGCTTTGCAGAGAGGGGCAAGCAGAAGATGGCTGCATGAGCTTCTTGTTTTCCCAGTGAATGGTAAACTGATAAACGCGGAGGAGGTTTCAGGCCTCCATGCTGTCAAGGCGTTCTTCGAAGTCCTGAAGATCGGCGCGGTGGATGCCTGGACGTTGTTCTCTAGCTTAGACAAGGCTGCAGTGCGCTCGCATGCCTCAAATGCCTCAAATGCCTGAAAATGCCCACCCCCCCTATCCTCGGTGGAGTCGCTGCCATGACCAGGACGGCGATCACACCGTCAGCGTGGACGAATTTACAGAGCGCTGCCACTTGCCAACAGGTTAGCGCCCGGTTAGGGCTGCAACCGTTTCATTGCAGACTCTCCGCACAAAGGCCGCAGCAGTACTTTCGGCATGGCATCTCCGAACCCCCTCAGGCCCGATGGTGACAGTACGATGGTGCCTATTATTCCTAGTATTCGCGTTTTGTTACATGTATGATTATTATGACCATTGAATAGTATGGCCATTCTTATCCTCACCCTGTTTTACCCTTACACTTTTGAACAGGAGAGACCAAGACAAAAAGTCAATGACGTAGTGTAAAAACAAACAAGATGGGAACATCGACCAAGCGATACCGTTTCAAGAGCCCAAGAAGTTGCTGTCGTGACATCTAAGTGAAGCTTCGAGGTTTGCAACTACATGGTCCTGCAAGCGCTGCCGATCTCTTTGCCATGAAGCAGCAAACTGCACCGAGGAAGCAGTGAGCTCCATGCGAATGACCTTGCCAAAGTGGAACCAAAGTAAGCGCTTTATTGAAGCATTGTAGGGCCTGACTTCCCCTTTTATATTCAGCGCAAGACCCAGTTTGGAACTGGTTCTAGCATATTCACGTCCCGAATCAGGCCTAGTCCTGCCACAGAGGCCAAGCTGTCGAGGCAGCTGCGCCAGATCGCGGATCTCCAAGGTCGCCATCTTCAGCAAGTGGCTAGGCACCTTGGCGGAGGATGCTATAGGCATCTAAAGGCTTTTGGCCTTTCCCAAGTTTCTGAACTTAACGGCTACTTGTGTGAGTGTCGAAGGTGTGTGTGGAAAGTTCAGGAGAACTCATAGCACTCCTTCAGAGGGCAAGGCGAAGTCTCAGGAAGGCTCGCAAGTGTTGAAGTACATGTAGCGTAGCAGTAATCAGGTTCTCGATTAGCAGCGGTTGCCTCAATTTGAGTGACCCTCCCTGCTTTGGCATGCCATTCTGCTGAGGCTCATGTCGACAGTCTTGGTTGCAGACGGTCCTGACGGGAACCAGCCTGCAACAGCTGAGCAGGTCACATTCAAGTTCTGACACCCACTCTGAAGAGTCGCTGAACACTTGCTTTCCAGCACCTTTTCCCCCTTCGCCTCAAAGGCTTGGGGTAGTTTCACTTTTTCCTCACTTGCTGGGCCCACGACCGAGCCGACATTGCGAAGCGTGGCCCGCAGTGACGTCGCTACCCACAACGAGTGCCAGTCGGCATCAAATCGCATACGACTAAGGTCAACCATGTGTTTTCAACTTCAGGTAGGCTGCCAGGAAACAATGGCACAGAGTTTCATGGCCCGTCTAGACTTCATTCGGATACTGCTTGATTTCGAGCCTTCAAATGTATGACCTGCGACTTGCTGGTTCCTGTCTAGACTGGCTTCTCGACGGAGAGCACACGCTCGTCACATGTGCTGCGTTGAAGAGGTTCGCGCCCGAAATGAAGAAACGACCGTGCAGAAAGCTGGCAGTGGTGGAAACGTCTCATTGCGCGCACGCTGCATGATCCCCATGCTCAGGACCAGCCACCTGCTTCTTGGAGGCTGGATCATGAGATATCATGAGCAGCTTGTTGGAGCACAACGTTTCGGATACTCGCGCGAGTGTACTCCATGTAGCTTCGGCTGTCCTGTTCGCGCAGTTGCAACCCAAAGGCACGTCCTTGTTCATCTTTTTGCACTGGCCCGCCGGCTTAGACATGTGTCAGGATGGGGGTCGTCGTCGGCCAAATTCAAGATACTGGCTTTCGCAACATGTGCTCGTGTCACGTGCAGCAGGTGCTCCGTAGAGCACTTATGGCTGTAGCAGCGGAATGCTTGTTACACTAGCATAGCAGATCGATTTGCAGGTTGAGCCTTGTTGCTCAGATTGTGGCCATGGATTCAGATGCTTCTCTCCCCCAGCTTGTGGAAGAAGTTCTACGGTTACATCGGGATGAGGTTACAGTGCTGTTGGAGACATGGATGTCCAGATTCAACGCGCAGCTTGCAGGAAGCTGGTCACCAGGGTTGGTGTCCGTGGCAACAGGTGATTCAAGGCCAGGCAAGCCTGAACTGCCACTGGTTGACAACTCTGGGGAATGGACGTTGCCAATGGCGCCCAAAGAGTCTGCTATGTATATGCCAAGCCCAAGTATCCAGGAAGCGGAAGAGGATGTGGAAAACAATGAAAACAATGAAAACAATGAAAAGAACGATCCCTCCAGCATCGGCGCAGGCACAGATCGATTTGATAGCAGCTACCTAATGGCGCGGCAGACCGATCGCCGCATCGCACAGGCTTTTCACAAACTGGGTGGCTGGTCCTTCTATGGGAGAGGGCCAAGGCCAGCGGAGAGGCTGTACACATGGGCCGGCTTCCAAGCATGTACTCAAGCGGTGATGAGTTCTCAGAAGGCCACCATGTTCTGGGCATTTGTGATCCTCACAAACTCGGTGTACTTGGGAGTGCACCTCGAATGGAGCGTCGATCATCCAGGGTTTACTGGGAACGACACCTTCTATGCCCTGCATCTGGTGTATGCTTTCCTCTTCACCCTCGAGGTTGCGCTGCGAATTGTTGCCTGGGGATGCTGGGCTCTTGTGTTTGGGAAGGACTGGGGTGGGGACTTGCGTCTTCAGAATTTACCAAACACTTTTCAGGAAGTTCTATCCGTATCTTATTCTAGGAATGCTCTGTGCTCTCGTCAGCAGAAGCGTGAGGTGGGTCGGGGATGGGTTGGCTCCCTTTGGCTACCCTGATGACTGAGGGTTCGAAGGGCCCCTGTGGCTCATGGTGTTCGCCTTGCAGTGCCTTTCAGCAAGGGCCAGAGTCGAATCCCCGATTTTGGACCCCCAAACAGCCAGTCGCCATCGGAGGCCCCTTAATCAAGCCTTAGCGCCTGAAGAGAGGACTGGTATTGGAATTGGCTGGACCTCTTTGTTGTGATCTCCTCGTGGGTGGAGTTCGTCATCGACCTGACAAGCTTGTCAGACCAGGAGCCGGTGAGCAGGGGGAACAGCAACTTCCGCCTGATGAGGTTCGTAAGATTGGGGCGGCTGGTTCGTGTTGTCCGCATCGTCCGCGTTGTGCGCCTCTTCCGGGCTTTGCGGACGCTAGTGGCATCACTGGCAGGAACGCTGAAGTCACTGTTTTGGTCGTTCTTGCTGCTGGGGTTAATTATCTACATATTTGCCATACTCTTCACTGACGTGGTGTTGGATTACATGATCGAGTTTGGTGTGCCTCAATCGGAGAGTGACCCGATGCAAGTGCCTTGCACCTCATTCGTAATTTGTGCAATCTTTCTGTTGGATAGGGGGGAGGGGGCGCAGAAACACTGGACTCTGTAAGTACCACTTCGGCGACCTCTACAGCTCTTCCACCACCCTGTTCCGCTCCATCTCGAACGGTCTTTCCTGGCACGTTGCCGCCGATGCCCTGCATCCTGCAGGCGCACACCAGACTTCTTGGAGATGGTTTCATGGTTTGCTAGCTTTGCTTGGGGGGCTGCGGGTCAGAAATGCTTTAAGCAGGGATTTGCGACCTTAGCTTGGGCGTACAGGGTGTTGACAATGTTGATTGGGGGGGTTTTTGGAAAATGACGTGCATGAAGATGTAAGCAGCGGCCCAGTTCCATTGTTTGTGAAGAGTTTGGCTTCACAAGAGCTCACATCCATAGTGCGATTGGAAAGATCGTCGTCTGATTTTGTGCACGCCATGAGGCGAGTTCTGGGTGCAAGCCTTCAACTTTTTCGTCGCGTTTTGCAGCTTCGCGGTCTTAAATGCAGCCTGGTCAGAATTGGAGATGTGTTTTGGGTTTGCTTGCTTGCAAAAGGTTTGGAATTTCGCAGGCAAGTGTTGGCAAGATGGCTGTACTACTGTCCTCATAACGGTTTTCGCATCGGTCTTGCAGTACTTGGTCTAGGTTCAGGCTGTGCAGGTGATGCGAAACATGGCTTGGTCATGTAAGAGGGCTGTGGCGACACATTATGCTTCCCCACTGTGCGGCGACATAGCTTTCTGCATTCTCGCCGTAGGACAGAGGCAGAGTTCATTCTTTCTTGCAGTTGGGCGGTAGAGCACTCTGATTCGATCTGGGTTGGAAGGGTGGTTGTTGCCAGTTCGCAACCTGACCTTTGCCCACAATGTCGCTGTAACGTGATGGGGCTTGGTGCAGTAAGAACAGCTTGCAGACGGCTTCTGTGCTCCCCTTGTGCTTTTCGCATGTGAAATGATGACGTGCTGGGAGCCATGGAGAATCGAGTTGTCGATGTCTTGGCAGCATTGTCTTCTCGGCTCGATGCCGGTGGTGTGGCTCTTAGTCATAATCATGAGTCACGCATGTGTTGTGTGGTACTTGGGGCGTCATGGCACATGCCCGTCCCATAGCTGTGCTCAGCACATGTTGTCTTTGTTCTTTCACTGCTTGACGCTTGCTTAGTCCTGGTTGTTTACGGGAAAGGGTGTGATGTCCAGGGGGCCCGTGCCTCAGCCATGTGTGTTGGAATTTGTCATGTTGGAGCGTGCCGCTGAGCAGTTGAGCAATGCCATTCCTCAGCGTTGCGTCATGCTACCGCTCCTTCGCAGTTTTTGGTGGGACCGTAGGGTGCCGACGAACTGGGTTCGTTGACATTCTAGCCAAATGCCAGCCAGACTTTGGCGCTGGACGGAACCCATACCATGGTTGACGGCCTTGCTTGCGTCATTGGCTTGTTGGTCGCCGGTTCAGCATTGACACATGTTTTGTTCTCGAAAGGCTTCCTGACACGGTTCTGCAATGTTTTGCCCCGCTGGATTCCTGGATTGGTCAGCCACCTCCCCTTGAGGGGTGTGAGGGGCTCTGTGGTTCGGGGCTTGCTGGCCCCTGCGCACACAAAAGGAAGCTGAACAATTTTCAAGAAGCCTAGTAACTGATAATCTTTGTCCCCCTGACCTCGCTTGTAAGCTTGGGAGGCGCTCAGTTGCCTGCCTCCGGATGTCTGGACGCTCTGAAAGTCACGGGGGCGTTGGACTCCAAGCCTGGTGATGCTGCTGAAGATCGCATAGTTACGTAGAAACGGGTGTCGTGCAGAGTCTCGACTGTGTCCCCCTTTCGGACCGATCCTTACTTTAAAGCCCTGCTTTAGGGATGATTGGCTGGTGTCTCTGTTGGCTTCTGTGTGTCATGTCTTGGAATGGGGCGGGGAGCTGGTACCAAACCAAAAAAGCGGCTTGCGCACGCCTTGGAAGGTGCTCAAGCTAGGAAAGTAGCTCCAGAAAAGACCATGCTCGCTTGCATGCTGTCGCCGTTGCATGTGCTTACCTGGTGGCATCGCGGCGTGGCCATTGCTAAAAGAGTTGCTTTGGGGTGGTTGTTGCATGCGCGTTCGCTGTTTTCTGACCGCTTCCCTTGGTGCTCTGATCTTGCGACGTGGACTCGGTAGTGCTGGGTTTGTGCCTGTAGTACTTACACTGGCTGCAAGAGACCTGGATGCAAAAAGTACTTGGAGTGTAGCATTCCTCAAGATTCCGATGGGAAACACTATCCTTCCCTACTTATCCCAGGTGCAGAAACGCATTTGGGCAGCAGATTTGTCCTGTACTGGTAGCGCTGTTGTTTTGGTTGCTGTAGTTGGTTATTTCGGGGTGTCCTCGACGGCACATATCAAACTCGAAGTTCCCCCGGCGAGGTCTTTTCCTTTCTGGAGAGTGGAACGCTGTGGGGCCGGGCGTTTTGCAACCCCGTTTGTGCCGCTTTTCGGGTTTTTTTGCTGTCTCAGTGTCCATGTACCATTGCATCGAGACAAGTGTGGACATCCATGCGTAGCTCGGTAGGTTTTCATGCTACGTAAGATACGATCAGCTGGTGCCCCAATGTTTTATCGTTTCTGCACTTCTGGTGCCCTGTAGCAGACATTCAAAGCTTAGGTTCTTTAGGTTCTATGACTTCCTGGGACGTAGCCCCATCAATGTCTCCCTGCAACAAAGCAGTAGAATTGTGGAGTGTGGGATCGGTACGTCACGACCCCCCAAAAATATGTTGTGGAATCTGGGTGCTGGCCCACCTTTAGATAGAGAGAGAAAGAGAGAGAGAGAGAGAGAGAGAGAGAGAGATATATATATATATATAGATAGTACCCCCCCCAAAGACCTACGTGTTTTTATGTTTTGGGTGTGTTTTAGGGTTTTAGGGTTGGGGGTGGGGGGCCATCTGTTTTGGGTGTGTTTTAGGTTTTTAGGGTTGGGAATGGGGGGCCATCTTAATATGTAAGTGTTCGTATATTAACCGTGAGCCCGATTGAAAAACGATTGAAACGATTGAAATTCAATCGGGGGCCGGATTGAAGCTTGAAGATTGAAGATTGAAGATTGAAGATTCACAGCACAAGGTTTTCCGGGAATCTCCAATCTTCAATCTTCAATCCGGCCCCCGATTGAATTTCAATCGTTTCAATCGTTTTTCAATCGGGCTCACGTTTAATAAAGTCTCAGAAGTAGATCTCGTGACGTCGCTCAAGGTCATATGTATTCGCAGACATTCCACTCGAAAACTTGACCATTTGTGTTTGTAATACTCGCAATGGCTCGCATTCCAGTTGCTGGCACAGGGGGGGTCTTTTCTTTTGCCTCTATACTTTCACATGATTCATACGACTTTTCGCAGGAGTTCTTCTGAATTTGCTCGAATTCGTATTGTGTTTGGCTCTGTTACCTTGTTTTTCCCTAATAAACTGTTTCCTTGGTTGTCCCTATGAAAACCTCTCTTTCCTTTGTATTTTAATAGGGTCCTCTATATGTTTTCACAGGATTCCCATTTGTGTCCACGCATGTTTCATTATTTTTGATTAATATGGTGGCCATTTATATTTTTAATATGGTTTCCATTCATATTGAAAGGATTTCTCCTCAACTTAATAAGATTCCAACTAAAATTCACAGCATTCCCATTGATGTCCATTCTTTTTAGTTTTAGTAAGGTTTAGGGTTTACTGTTGATAAGATGCGTGCTCAATTTAATACGCTTCCTACTAAGTTGCACAGGATGTCCATTGATCTTAAAAAGGTATGCCATGGGTTTGACAGGATTGCCAGTTAGTTTAATTTGATTCCTATTCATATGCTCTGAAGCAAGAAAAACTATCGGTTAAGGGTTTAGGGTTTTAAAGAGAAGCCCCCCGAAACCCTGTCGGGTCAAGCAATTAGGCCCAAACCCTTAAGCTTTAAACCTACAGGGTTAAGGTTAAGGTTTAAAGGCTTCGCGTTTAAGATTTAGGCATTTAAACCTAAGCCCATAGAGTTCAATCCTTAGGGATTCAGGTTGAAACATTCAAACCCTTAACCCTAAACCCTTTAGGGTAACACCATAAGGCTCTAAAAGGTTCAAAGGCTTTAACCCTATAGGCGCTGAAGGTATACATGCCCAGACCTTAGATTTGTATACCATTAAACCCTTTAGGGTTTAAAGGTTTAGGGCTTCAGGGTTTATCTCTAAAACCCTCATGGGGTAAGCCCTTTAGGGTTTAAACCCTATATGGTATAGGGTGATGCGAAGAAATCATTTACTGTAAGTCCCGGGGACGCGAGAATACTGTGAGCAAATATCTTTTCACTATTTCCTGAGCCTTTCCAACAGGCTGCTAGTAATTGCTCGCAAGTATCTTGCTGTCAATGTTCCCCACAAGTCTCCCAACATGTATGATTTCTCAAGAAAATGCTCATTTTCCCATAAACCGCAAGACTCACAAGCACATAAGGTCTTATATGACATTCGTCCAAAGCAACTGGGTATCACATCCTTACTACAAAAAAGTATTGTTTTCAGGGTGCTTCAGGTGGTCGTGCGTCTCCCAAGAAGAAATGCCATAGCATGTTACGGGACCTGTGCTGCTATATCTTAATATAGCGAGAGGGTGTAGGATTGTTTTGAGTTGGAGGGGTAGGTAAGCCAGAAGGTTTTGTTTAGAGACACATCTCGTAAGTATAAAGGAAAATAGCATGCTACCGAAACTGTGAAGTTATATCTTAGTATAGAGAGGGTTTAGGGTGGTTTTGAGCTGAAGGGGTACGTAAGGTTGCTCTGTGGTACGAGCTGCACTGATGCAACAGTCGCATCCGGCCCCCATCCCCCTCAGGGGCGCGCCAATTTGCACTTGTCTGAAGCAAACTGAAGCTTCCCAACGCAACGTGTGAAGCTGGAACTCCTATCGGGCAGCTGCGTGCAGATGCGGTGTCACACTTGTCCTCGTCCCGCTGGGCGCTGATTAAGCTCCAAGTCGGTTTGGGCCCGTTGCAAAGGATCCCTTGGTCATACTCTTTGCTGCTGAGCATTTTCAACTGGTCCGAAAAAGCATTTTTGCAAATCGCAAGCGACTTGAAAAAAGCATTTGTTCAAGCCGCAAATGGCTTGAAAAGCTTAGAAAATTACAGGATTCGAAGATTACGCACGGGCGGGCTTGGGGTCGGGCGTTGAGTGTCTTAAACGAAACCTTAGAACTGAATGCCGAAAACCCGAAAAAAATGGACCCCAAAGCTACAGCCGGATAATTCTGAGATGACATGCAAAGTAGAGTTTTTCACAGCTCAACCCATAACTAAGCTTAAACGCGATAAGCCCTAGCTAGAAGCCGCAAGCTAAAAAGACTAAACGCTAAACCTTACACCCTCACTTATGCCTCTGCCATTTTGGCTCGGCTCAAACTTCCGCACCGAGAGCATGCGCCGATCTCCGTGTTCGCATTCTTCTGGAGTTTTTGCTTCGGCCAAGGTCTCCTCACTATGATGCTAGTAAGAACCTCACCCAAAACA